TATATATATATATAAAATCAAATTAGAAAAGAAGAAATTAAACCAAAGGTGGATATGTACTAACTAAAATGACAAAAATGGTCCTTTATGTTAATATAAATTTAAAATAATCCATTAAATATGTTTCTCAGTCGTTTTAATTCGTTTAAATTTACTAAGAATGAGCACTTTTTGATCTCCATCAACATTTAGGGCCCCTTTGGACATCAATTTTTTTAACTTTTTTTCGAAATCAATATTTGAACATAAAATTTTTAATTTTTATTTAAAAATAAATTTTAAAATTTTTCGAAAATTTTAAAAACTCTAAAAAAACTATTTTTTAAAATTTTTATTTTAAATCACTACAAAATTCAATAAAAGCCTAAAATTATCTAATTTTCGAATATCATTTTTCAAAATTTTATAATTTTTATGATCAAACGCCAACTTAATATTACTGGCAATTAGATTTACTAGAATTTGCAAAATACAAAAAAGAGATGATGTACCCAAAAAATATCAGGAAAGTTGAAAAAAACTGCATCACTAACTACATGTGTCTAGTGGAGTTTTTGGTGTTGTGATTTGGAGTTCAAAATGATTTTCCTGGTATTTTTGGTCAAAACATTTTTTTGTTATTTTGTTATTTTGAGAAATGATATTTTAACTTCTTCTTATGTACATTTAATTGTTCTTTTTTTTTCTCGTCTTTGGTTTTAAGAAAGAAAAACCCTCCCGCAGCGGCCTCAACTCCCAGTCTCCCACCCTTGGCCGCCGTTCTCTTTTTATTCTTTTGGTTTCTTGGACCTTTTGCCTCATTCCTGTTATAAACAAAAATGGGAAAGAAAGCAGGAAAGTTCAAAAAGAAGGAAACCAACAACGCTCCAAAAAAAGCAAAACGTGATTTTTACAATGAAGATGATGATATGATGAATGATGCCATCGATGCCTGTGAGTTTTTTTTTTGATGCTTTTAGTTTTAAGGCTGAAAAATTAGAAATATGTACTATGAAGAATGAAAATAATATGATTTATAATTGCTAGAAAGAATGAGAATGATATCTTTGAGCTCAAAATTTGATTGTTGTTATGCCCAGTTGAAGTATATTGATGGTTCTTTTAGTGGAAGATTTTACTTCTTTTGTTATTCCCAGTTGAAGTTTAATTTTTTTTTTTTTTTTTTGGAAATTTTAGCTTATGGCTGAAAAACTAAAAAAAAATGATTTTCTTTTGAACTGAATGTTTTATCTCTGTTGTAGTTTGAAGGTCATTTGTGTGCTAGATATTTTCAGCTTTACTGCTTTGTTATTAGCAATAGTTGCTAGAAAGAGTGAGAATGATATATCTTTGAGCTCAAGATTTGATTTTATCTTGCCCCGTTGAAGTGTATTGAGGGTTTTTTGATATTTCCAGTTTTACAGCTCAAAATTTAGCAATTAAATAAACAGATTTGAATAAGAAAACAGGAAACATATTAGAAATAAAAAAGAAAAAGAAAAATGATTTCTTTTTAAGCTGAAAAGTTTCTCTCCATCAATAGTTGATTTCTTTTTGGGTTTCAGATATTAAAGATTTCCTCCTAGGATATTAGCTATAAATGCACAACAAAAGGATGGAAAAAAGCATTTTTCTGAGCTCAAATTTAGTTTGTGTTATGCCTAGTTAAAGTTTATTAAGGGGTTTGATATTTTCAGTTTTAATACTCCTACAAGTAGCCAAAAGAAGGAAAAAAAAGAAAAATATTGAAATAAATGATTGCTAAGAGCTGAGAATTTACTTTTCATATTGTCTGGTTGATGTTTATAGCCGTAAAAAGTTAGAAATAAATAGAATAAAGAATGCAAAGAAATATCATTTCTTTTGAGCCAAAATTTTCCTCTGTTTATGTCCAGTTGAAGTTTTATTTGGTTTTTAGGTATAAGAGAAGATAAAGATTTATAGTTTATAATTGCTAGTAGTTTGCATTTGTTTGGATGTTTGCTTTATTTGAATCCACGGGGAGAGAGAGAATTTCAGAGAAAATGCTTTTTTATGTTACTGATCTACTTGTTTAAATGTAGTTCATGAACAGAGAGACATGATCCCACTGAATGTTAATGAAGATGATGCAGAGTCGGATGAAGATAATGAGCATCCTGTGTATGATCTTAAGGTGATACGGGTTTTCTTTTCCAACTTTTATCTTCATACTGAAAGTTTATAAACTGTATCAAGTAATTAGATTGCTACTTTGATGTAAGCAAGTCAACTAATTGCTCAAAGTTGGGTAACTGTTTCCTTTATGTAGGAGGATGAAGATGAGGAGGATGAAGATGACGACCTTGATGATGCTGAACTTACTGGCCTTGGTGCTAAAAGTGTGCAACTAAACTCAAACTTGTGACTGCTTTTACCTATTGAAAAGAAATACTTAGCTGAATTGCATATCCTGTTTCTCCCGTTATGATTTTTTTTTTCCTGATATTCCTTTTGAACGCTTCTGAAGGCAGCTTAGAACAGATGATTAGCTTATATTTATTCTAGGAGTTTCCTGTCCCAAAAAAGAAGCAGCAAAAATAAAGCAGAAGAGAAAAATAACAGCTTGTACTATTTCAACCTGTCATTAAGATTTTGAAAATGCATGTGTGGTGGTGGTGGGAAGAATTATGCAATTCCTATTGTTTGATTAGTGAATTGATGCTAATTAGTTCGGAGATTAAATAATGAATGACGTGTTCGAATTGCGTAAATACTGCACGAAGATGAGTAACTGTAACCACTAAGTTATAGTACTATTTCTACTGCGGCTCCTAAATATGAGTTTCTCTGCACTGGGCTGCTACACATAAACGGCAGCAGGAAGATTCTTTCCATTCTCATATATTGACTGAACTGATAAGGCGATTGGTTTCCTTCAAATAATAGTTGGTTGTTCATTTGTTTTGGTTCTCGATCTCTTACTGTTCGCCTCTTTTTTGCATCTTCTGCTTGGGGCAATTTTTAATTATCTAATTTGAGTACCTATTTTTACTTTAGTTGCAAGGACACAGAAATATTTACGAGCTACAATGGGCGGGGTTGAGGATGAAATGCACGATGAAGCTGAAGAGGAGAAAGAAGAGAGGCCTCTGTGGGGAAGAGGAAAAAATATCTATTATTATCAAGATAAGCAGGTAGGATTTTGACTAATTATTTGGTTCATTTTATTTTATTATGACATTATATACGGCATGCTTGGAGAAACCAGTATTTACTGGCGTTAAAAAAACAATCTGACGTCTGAGGAATATCCTCTCCTTACTGTTTCAACTGTACCTAAGTTCTTTGATCATGTTGTCATTTGTGTGCAGTACTTGATGTTTAAACGTTTTGTTTGTTAGGGTCCCGAGCAAGAGTCGAGTGATGAGGACCTTATCGCGGAGGAAGAGGCAGAGGTCTTGAGATTGCAGCAGAAGAAAGCTAAATCCTTATCTGCAGAGGATTTTGGTCTTGAAGATGATGAAGAGGAGCTTACATTGGAGGTAAGAAATTCAATTTCTATATAACGTCCATTCGATGATTTGTTTCTATCTTTTGTGGTCGGATGTGCATTCTTATGGATAATATTGCAGGAAATTTTGGCCCAAGGAAAATCTGGATTAGCAGTTTCTGCAGACGGAGAAGCCAAAAATGAAACTGGCACTGCTTACGAGGAAGTGCAGAAGGATTTGAATGCTTTGACGAAAGAAGAGCAAATGGATGTTGTCTATAGGTGAGCTTCTCTGTCCTGCATGTGCTAATTTCATTGTGACATGTTGGTTCTTTTACGTTTTATTGCTTGTCATTGGCAACAAGATTATGTCATGTCACCAAGCATCATGATAATATCAACAACAACAACAATCCAGTAGGATCCCACAAGTGGGGTCTGGGGAGGGTAGAGTGTACGCAGACCTTACCCCTATCCCAGAGGGATAGAGAGGCTGTTTCCGGGAGACCCTCGGCTCAAAGACAATAGATCCGTAACAACAACAGAAACCTGAAAAATAGAATCAATATCGTAAAAGACAATAAATAAATAGAAAGGCCAAAATGTGAAAGACATCAAAAATGTAAAACACAACAAAAACCGCTAGCACTCCTAGACAAAACACTATCAGCCTAGCATGCACAACGAGGGTACACGCTCGCTACCCCTAACCTACAACCCTAATGCTCGACCTCCACACCTTCCTATCATTTATAGTCATGATAATATCAGTATGGAAAATTTTGGAAGGAGGCACATAGGTTATAGTCACTATCATTTACCATGAATGTTGCTAGCGTTTTTTTATAAATTTGAAATAGATATCACTATGATTCTAAACAAATAGAAGAGAAAAAGGCAGGTGATCAATTAAGGTGTCATACTAGACAGTGTATGCTTAATTTTACTGGTAAAGGTTGTGGAAGTTGACAAAGAACAAAAACCCTACGTGTTGCTCAGTTCAGACTTCAGTAATGACAATAATGTTTGAGGACTCATCTTTGCGATGTCCTCAATTTAGCCATTTAAAAAGGGATCAGGTTGTATATTTCTTCAGGTTTCAGTAGGAAGTTTTGAACATGGGCATGGCGGACTTGAGAGTATTGAACACCATACTGAACAGAAAAGCTTACTGATTCTACTGCTTCATCAAAAAAAGGTTTACTGATTCTACTGTCATTGGCTAGATGTTAGATCATCTCTGGTAGGTAGCGAACATCAATTGTTTGCAGGCTAGATTATGCTTTTGACTCTATGATCTTTTTGTGATTACAGTTCTGCACCTGAATTGGTTGGTTTGCTATCTGAGCTTAGTGAAGCGCTTGAGCAGCTCGATAACAAAGTTAATCCTATACTCAACAAGGTATGCGCATTGTGAAATTCCACTAGCTACAGGTTACTTGGTCTCCTCATTATGCTAGTGGAATTTCTGAGTGCTCCATCTCAAAAAAAAAAAGATACTTGTCTGAGTGCATATAGCAAGATTCTATTTTGAGTATTCTATTCTGATTTTGTATTCATTTGAAATTGTAGAAATAAACTTGTTCCTCTTGTTGCTAATGTTACTTCTCCCTCCGTTCCAGTTTATGTGAACCTATTTTCTTTTTGGTCCGTTCCAAAAAGATTGACCCCTTCTAAATTTAGAAACAATTTTGCTTAAACTTACAATTCTACCCTTAATGAGAAGCTTTTATAAACCACACAAATACTCTGGCCCCTTTTTGACTTGTTTAGGACCTCAAATTTCAAAAGTCTTCATTTTTTCTTAAACTCCGTGTCCAGTCAAACAGGTTCACATAAATTGGAACAGAGGGAGTATATCTTTTTTATTTTTGTTTTGTTTAAAAAAATATGTAATTATGACTTCATATTCTTATCTTGTAAATAATGATGTCATTGAAATAATAAGAAGAGAACTATTCTAACTTGAATCTTTTGTTTTCTAATCTAAATAATGTAAAAATGGAATGTAAGTAGGCGAGGGGTGGATGTAGCCTAGTGGATCAAGGATTGAATATATATTGTGAAATCTACTGCTACATTCTAGACCTGCTTGGCTGTGGTTCCTTTTGAACACTTTTGGGTTTCTCCGGCGATGTAAAACCTCTATAGTTAGTAGTTGCATTGGCTCTGATACTGGTATAAAGGTGTTCTGCTGAAAGGATGAAATAATTTAGCTTTAGAAATGATTTGTTGGAGACGTGGAGTAGTGTCAACTGACTAGTATAGTTAAAACAGTGAGAGTTGATTCATATAGCGATGGTGTCAGCTGTTCTTCTAGTCTGAAACTGAATGCAGCTTTTTGTAAGATAGGTTGATCTTGGAGTGATATTGCACGTGTCAGCATTTAACTTCCATTTTTCTCTATTAAGATTAATGGAGAGAATATGATAAAAGGTGGGATGCACTACATTGAGGTGAAGAAGCTACTTCTGCTGTCATATTGCCAAGCTATCACCTTCTATCTTCTTCTCAAATCCGAGGGACAACCAGTGCGTGATCATCCAGTCATTTCACGCCTTGTGGAGATCAAGAATTTGTTGAATAAGGTCACAACTCTTATCTTGTGATTCAAACAACAAAACATGGCCAAGTTACTGGGTGCCTGTTTTTGTTAATTCTGTTAATGATGACATTATTTGCTGGAAATCAATCACTTGATTATATGGTCCAGATATGCATAATTGATAAGATATGAGTCATATGACTGCTTTATTTTCTCTTAGATATCTGCTAAGCAAATTGAGCTCACACACACATGTTGACAGCTTTTGCTTGACCACCTCACATGGTAATATCTGTAGACTTGCAATTTTAAAGATAACTTAAGCTGTTAAAAATGGAAAAGGTTAATACAAACTGTAATGAGTATAATTATTTAGCTCATGGAAAAAGCTAGAGGCCACTTTATTATCTATTTAATGCTTATGGTTTCAATTTTTTGAACTTATTCTCATTCTATGCTGAATCTGTCTGTATCTGGGCTGTTTCTTCATTAGTGTAGTACAAAAAGTATCCTAGTGCTACTCTGAAGTGCAAAAAGTATCCTAGTGCTACTCTGAACTTGTTTGTTCATCCACACATGACTGCATGTGGATAACCTCCTATGCTTTCTTTCCTGCCCCTTTTTACCCCCCCTCCCCCAAGTTTTGCAGCAGCATTCTGTATTATCCTTTCTCCCAAAAATACATTTGGTATTAAATTCCACACGTATGTAACAAGTTTTAAATGTTAAAGAAGATGATAAGCATCTTCCATTTCTCTGAAGTTGCATTGATGCCTCCACAAATTTCAGCTCTAACAAATGGATTAATTTTCTATGATGGTCTGCTGTACTACAGAACTAGGAAAGAAAACCCCCTTTTTTCCTCTTCTGCAGTTCTTTCTAAAAGGACATAACAGTCACTTATTCCTGCCAAGCCCAACTGTATGCCCTTCCCGTACCCAAGTGTCTTTCCTTTTTCTTTCATGTTGGTTTACAAATATTTAAATTCCTCAATTTCTTACTTTTGCATAGCTTCTAAAGTGAATACCCCAAATAGTCTCCAGTATTCTTATTGCTTTATTTGATGAACTAAATCTGTCTGTCTAGCATAGCTAGCTAAACTCATACATGAAATAAGTTAAATACGCGGATTTCTGGGGAAGGGATTCTTCAATTCTTGAATCAAGTTTTAGAGTCTTAGAGAATTTGAAATGGAAATGATATGTTAACTGATCGTTACCAAACATATTAAATTTGTCAAATGTGTACCGAATTAACATGCTTAGATGCTAAATGATGTTGCCAAATAGTTGCTAAGTCCTCTCCTTGTTCTTCTGATTTATTTGAATCTTGGCTAGCTTCAATGCGCATACCCTGCTCCCCTCTTCCTATCTTTCTAGTTGTTGACGAATTCATTTATGCAGATGAAAGAACTTGATGGAAATCTTCCTTCTGAACTAGAAGACTTTTTACACAAGAATGTTGATAATGTAACTGGTGTAAAGTTGGCGGGAAGTAACTTGGATTCTGAACCTCTCCCCATTAGTCACAAGCCTTCTGTGGCATTAGCTGATGTTCAAGAAACAGAGGTAAATTCCAGTTCGATTCATCTTATTTTGTTACTCAAGCATCCCATGATCATTTGTTTATTTGGGCTAATTTGATTGAAAACCTTTTGTATTTTTTATTAAGCAACCATGAAAAATTTAGTGTAAATTTTCCCTTCTTTGTAGCCTCATGAAGCTGAGTTGGTGGAGGCAAATGGTTTAAAGAGTCAACAGAAAAACGAATCAAAACGCAAACGTCAGGTAAATGGTGTATGTGTCTAAGCACATCTCTGTTCTGCTTATCAACCATCAGCAGGCGAGCCCACTGTCACTGTTACAATGCAAATGAAATATCACCAGACTAGTACCAATGTCATTGTCTTTTTATTTCTAACAGCTTTTTCATCCATGTTCCTATTTGTCGCAAGACCACCAGACCTCTTCTTCTTTTACCTGTAAGTTCAAATTAGCTAATTAAAGAATTGTGGCAGGATGATCAAGTTGGTATCCAGAGCAGGGAAATGTTAAAAGTGAGAGCTGACCTTGAGGAAAAATGGAAGCAGACAGGTGTCTTAAGTTCCATTGCACGAAAACATGAAAAACAAAACAAGCGCTTGCGACTACTGAATGGGTATTAATTTGCTTCGCGATATGTTGCTCCATATACGTCTTCTGTTAATCTACATAACTTAATGCAAACATGAAATCACTGATGGGAAGTCCAATGAATTATATGCAGGCAGTTGGCAACACCTGATGATTTTGATGATGATGCCATGGTTGCTGGAGATGATCGTGAGATACGGAGTTTAAATAAGCTGTCTAGGCTTGTGACTCCTCAAGTAGCGAGACCCAAGGTGTGGATCAGAAATGCTTTAATTTTGTGCTCGTTTTGTTGATTTTCATGTAAATAAATAACCTATTTCTTTTATGTGAGGGTATGCAACTGCATTGAGGTTGATTCTCTGTACTCATGGAATTTGACAGTCCTTTCAACTTCTGTCTCTGTTTGTGGCTCCCTTTCGCAAAATAGTGGCCCCCTTTTCCTTTATTGGTGATCACTTGACTGTTTTCCCTTATTCCTTCTTGCCTCTTTTATAGCAATTCCCAGGTATTTCAAAAAAAAAGAAAAAAAGAAAACGAAACCTGTTTGGCCTTGATAATCATAAATGGCCAACTGATTTGTGACGGAGGGGGTATATCTTTGCATGTCTTTCATAGAAGTTACATCTTTATATGTGCTCTTCTTAAGAGTTGAATGAGGTCGTAATATGTTATTTGAGTTATCTTCAGCTGCATGCAATTGTTAAGTTTTTAATTCTCCTGTGTGCTTATCAGGGTGAAGGCAACTATGTTTCTACTGTTTGGTGTCACTGTTTTCTAGCTGTGGCAATTAGGATTATTTAGAAACCCTTCATGTTTGACACATGTTGTGTTAAACTGCCTTTCTCTTCGAGTTAAAATTAAACAATTGTGATATACCCTTTCACAAATATCAAAGAAATACAGTGTGGTAGACCGGGAATAGTATTATTGTGCAAGCAGTTTTTACTGACGATGTTCAGGTAGCTGCCTGCTAATTTGGCTTTGTGATCTGCGCTTCTTCTCCTTTCATGTTTCCTTGGTATTGTTTTTATATATTTAAATGTGTGTTTGTGTGTGTATTTTGCTTTTGTTAAAGTAGATGTGTTATAATCATTTTTCCTTGCATGGAATGTTTTTTAAGCTTTCAAACTTCTTTAGTATGTCTCATGTGACTTAACCTAACTAGATGCATTATAACAACTTTTGTTCCTTTGAAAGGTAATTTCTGGTGATGATGATTTACCAAAGCGAGACGACATTGGAGAAAGGAGAAGAAAGCATGAACTAAGAGTTCTAGCTGGAGCCGGAGTTGAACCTTCTGATGATGTTGAAGATGAGCCCGGTAACCATGCAAGTGATGATGATGTTGCTAGTTCTGATGATGGTGAAATGGACTCAGATTTGGAATTCTATAAAGAAGTGGAAAAGCAACATTCAGCTAAGCTTGCTGCTAAAGAAAAGATGTATTCCAGGTTAGACTCAATATTGTTTAAGATTGTTAAAGCAAGCTCATTCCACCTGCTAAACTACTTTCTTTTGAAAGATTTTTAGGATACCCTATCGATATGGATTATTACGTATTATCCTTCTAAGTCCCGCATCTTTTTTTGATAAGATCCTCCAGCATTTGTTTCTCTAGCTCAATGGCATCCTTTGCTTGGCTATTTTTTCATTAGTGCATAACCTGGAAACAGACATGCATTTGTTCACTTTGATTCACTTAATTCACCATAATTTGCCACAGTAGAGCCCCGGTTATTTCGTCGACAACTGAAACGCTTGTGGATGGGAAGCGCCAGATAAATTACCAGGTATGACATATTAGCTTTGTCGCCAGTTGCACTCATCACCTACCTTTTTTTTCCTTTTCTTTTTGGTAGTTTCACTAAAGTCGGGTTTCTTTTATTTTTAGATGGAGAAGAACAGGGGACTTACTCGTCATCGTAACAAGCTAACTAAAAATCCAAGGAAGAAGTACAGGGTAAGTGGCTAAAACAGAATGCTTGTGTCTGACAAGAACTAAATTCCTGATATAACAATGTTGACAAAAATACTGTTCGTCTCTCTCTCAGGGAAAACATGAGAAGCAGCAGAAACGTAGGAAAGGACAAGTCCGCGATATCAAGAAGCCAAGTGGTCCTTATGGTGGAGAAACTACAGGAATTAATGCTGCTAGTAGGCGAAGTATCAGATTATAGAAATGAGTTCTTGGCTTCGCTCTACGCCTGGAGTATAAGTGATGGCATTCTCTTTGTGTTGAGGCCTTTGGTTTTACATTTACATGACGCGTGGGTTAACGAACGTCACAGAGATACAAACCCTTCTGCGGACAAAAGCCTACGATTTAAGTGGAGAAGGGTAGAGGGGTCGGCCCATTATCCACCGACTTCCAAACCAATCTCTGATGGCTTATATATTTTTCAGTTTTAAAAAAAAGATGATATTTTCTTTTTCTGCAAGCGTTTTTGTTGTGGTCAAAATTAGTTTTTTTTTCCTTCCAATTTTCCTTCCCCGGAAAAGGGAAGTGGAAAGGGATGTATAAGATGAATTTGAAGTGCTTATGTTTCTTATTTAAGCTTTTTAATCGATTATTTCGTAGCGGTCTCAACCCATATCCTGGGAATACACTGGGTTTGTTGTTGTTGTTGACTTGTTGTAGTGGTCTCAGCTTACAAAATATTGTGATGGTTAGCTTTACACTTTACGGTCATGTTTATTTCGTACTGGCCTTGAGAAAAGTCAAACAACAATAACAGATGCTAACGAATAACGTAACATTCGATGGAGAAGAATAGATTGGTGAAGAATTAACTTAGATCTAAAATATTTTAGAGTCAAATATAAGGGAAAGAGGATAAATAATAATAATAATAATATACCCAGTATTATCCTACACTGTGGGGTCTGGAGAAGGTAGTGTGTACCTTACCTCTACCTTGTGAGAATAGAGAGGTTGTTTCTAATAGATCTTCGGTTAAGGAAAGTATAAGCACCACATTAACGAAAATATAGACAAGAAACGACAATACCAAAAATCATATAAAAATAGAACGGCAAAAGTCCAAATATATTCATGTATTTTCGAAAATGGTCTAAGAATATCTCTCGTTATACTATTGGGTTATCTATGCCCGTACAGTCATACTTTGGGTTCAAATATACCCCTCATTTAAACAGAGGGACACGTGTCATCGTCCTGTTGGCCAATTCTAAATATCTCCTAATTAATTAAAAAGACCCATTACCCATACCCGAAAAGCAATTTTCTAAAGCAATTTATTTTTTGTAAAAACTGGAAAAAACTGAATTTTTAAAACTAAAAACTGAATTTTTTTTCCAGTTTTTACAAAAAAACTGAAAAATATATTCTAAAACAATATTTTTTGTAAAAACTGAAAAAAAAATTAAAAAATAATTTTCTAAAGCGTGTAAAAACTGTTTTTTAACTAAAAACTGAATTTTTTTTTTCTTCAGTTTTTACAAAAACATTGCTTTAGAAAATTGTTTTTCAGTTTTTGTTTTTAGTTTTTACAAAAACAAATTGCTTTAGAAATTATTTTTCAATTTTTTTAAAGCAATATTTTTCTAAAAACTGGAAAAAAATATTTTTGATTTTTTCAGTTTTAGTAAAAAAAAAAAAACATTCAGTTTTTTTCAGTTTTTACAAAATATTGCTTTAGAAAATTGCTTTTTAGTTTAGTTTTTCAGTTTTTACTAAAACATTGTTTTGAAAAATATTTTTCAGTTTTTTTTTGTAAAAAATAAAAAAAAAATATTTTCATTTTTTTCAGTTTTTAGTAAAAATATTTTCAGTTTTTTCTAGTTTTTACAAAAAAAATTGCTTTAGAAAATTATTTTTCGGGTATGGGTAATGTGTCTTTTTAATTAATTTAGAGATATTTAGAATTGGCCAACATGACTATGATACGTGTCCCTCCGTTTAAACGAGGGGTATATTTGAACCCAGAGTATGACTGCTGGGGTATAGATAACCCAATAGTATAACGAGGGGTATTCTTAGACCATTTTCGAAAGTACATGGGTATATTTGGACCTTTGCCGAAAATAGAATGACGATAATAATATAGTAAGGTGATCAAAAATGAAAGAAAATAATGGTTAGTCATAAAAACTTACTACCAACAGAAAGCGAGAGTGCATGCCAATACTACTGTTATGAACACTCTAGACTACCTACTTTACTACCTTAACCTTAACCTCCATACCTTCCTATCAGGGGTCATGTCCTCGGTCAACTGAAGCTGCACCATGTCTTGCCTAAATACCTTCCTGTCACACAAAACACCGGAAGTGAGTCTATATTTTATCCATCCTGCCCCAATACGATGTGTGACATCTTCATCAATCTCCCCATCCCCCTGAATAATAGACCCAAGATACTTAAAACTTCCTCTCCTATGGATGACCTACGAGTCCAACCTCACCTCCCCTTCCCCTCCTATGAATGACCTACGAGTCCAGCCTCACCTCCCATTCCCCTCCTTAAGTCTCACTACTGAACTTACACTCCAAGTATTCTGTCTTGGTCCTGCTCAACTTGAAACCTTTAGACTCCAGGGTCTGCTTCCATACCTCTAACTGCGCGTTCACACTGCCTCGCGTCTCGTCAATCAATACAATATCATCTGCAAATAGCATGCACCACGACACTTCCCTTTGGATGTGGCGCGTCAGTATGTCCATCGCCAGGGCAAATAAAAAAGGCTGAGTGCCGACCCTTGATGCAACCCCATCATAACCGGAAAATGATACGAGTCCCCACCCAACGTCCTTAATCGCCCTAACGTAGACAACCGGTACACCTCTAGCCTCCAAACATCTCCACAAAACTTCCCTCGAACTTTATCGCATGCCTTTTCTAAGTCGATGAAAACCATATGCAAGTCCTTCTTCCTCTCCATATACTGCTCTATCAATCTCCTAAAAAGGTGGATGGCTTTTGTAGTTGAACGCCCCGGCATAAACCCGAATTGGTTCTCAAAAATAGACACACTCATCCTAACCCTTAGCTCTACCACTCTTTCCCAAACTTTCATAGTATGGCTAAGCACCTTGATACCCCGATATTTATTGCAATTTTGGATATCACCTTTGTTCTTGTATATAAGAACCATCGTACTTCACCTCTACTCTTCGGGCATATTCTTAGTTCTAAAAATGACATAAAATAACCTAGTGAGCCACTCCAAGCCTGCCTTGCCCGCGCACTCTTTCAAAACTCCACCGGGATTTCATCCGGCCCAGTCGCTTTGCCCCTGCTCATCTTACGCATAGCCCCCTCCACTTCATCTACTCTAATCCGCCTACAATACCCAAAGTCACAATGACTCCCAGAGAGTTTCAAATCACCCAGTACAATATTCCTGTCTCTCTCCTCGTTCAAGAGACTATGGAAGTAGGTCTGCCATCTCCGACGGATAAGCCCCTCATCCGGCAAAACTCTACCTTCTTCTTCCTTGATGAACTTCACTTGGTCCAAGTCACATAACTTCCTTTCATGCGCCTTGGCTAACCTGAACAACCTCTTATCCCCACCTCGGCCCTCGAGTTCCTCATACAAACGACTAAAAGCTGCAGTATTGGCCGCCATAACTGCTAGCTTTGCCTCTTTCTTAGCCAACTTATATTACTCCATATTCGCCCTCCTCTCCTCCTCGTCTATACTTTCCACTAGCTTCAGATACGCCACTTTCTGGGTTTCATTTTTCCTTGCACCTTTTCATTCCACCGCCAGTCTCCCTTGTGACCACCAGAGTAACCCTTTGAGACCCCTAAAACCTCTCACGCGGCTTCTCTAATGCACTGCACAGTCATGGTCCACATAGCGCTTGCATCCCCATTACTCCTCCAAGCCCCCATAGTCAGCAGCTTGACCCCCAACTCCTGTGCTTTAGCTTCTGTCAAGACTCCTCACTTGATCCTATGTTGGCTATACATCGCCCTCTTCTTCCTCTTCCTCATGATCTCAAGGTCCATGACCAGGAGCCTATGAGGGGTCGAGAGATTCTCACTTGGGATGACCTTGCAATCCGTGCAAAGACTTCTATCGGACTTCCTACAGAGTAAATAATCAATCTGAGTCTCAACCACCGAACTCCGAAAGGTGACCAAGTACTCCCTCTTTTTCGGGAAACTCGAGTTTGATATTACCAAATCAAATGCTATCTCAAAGAGGATAATTAGTATTATTATTAATTATATATGCAATGCATGACTTAAAAGTTAAAAAAAAATATTTACAGGGTGGAACGTCCTAACATTTCAGACTTTGGTCTTAAACAGTTGAGATTTTAAGGAAGATTACAGACTTTTAAAAATTGTAAAATAATTTTATAACGTTTTCATAACATTTCATACTTTTAAAATTTGTGATTCTATACGGTCTGTATACTATACCGTATATACATATATCTCTGCAACCAATCTGCCTCGCCATTTTCTCTTCTTATGTTTTGCTCTTTGTACTCACTACTTAATTGTTTACGTATATCATAAATCTCAAATTATGGGATGTGTTTTGACTTTTGAAAGTATATGACAATGGAACATACAGTACATGCTACATTTTCATATCGTATTAAGTTATTTCTCCATTTTATATTTTGTAGCGAGAGATGAGCCTATACATAATACAATCAAACTTATCTATAATAATCTCGTTAGCTTCAAATATTTTTGAACTCTTATAGTGAAATGCTGTTATACAAAATATATATTATAATATATATGTCAATAATTCTTTTTCTGATGTTAATTATTTATATGTTCAAACAAATACCGTCAAATAAATGCAAGAAAAAATAGTAATTTTTAAGCTTATAGCCTGTTTGGCCAAGCTTCTTCAAAAGTTTATTTTTTGGTTGTTGTCAAAAGCATTTTTTCCCAAATATAAGGTGTTTGGCCAAGCGTTTAGATGAAAAAAAACCCGTACTTTTGAATAGAAACAGTTATTGAGAAGCATACAATAATAACTTATTCCCAAAGTATTTTTTTAAAAAGTACTTTCGATAAAAATACACTTAGAATTACTAAGCTTGGCCAAACACTAATTGTCATTCAAAAATGCTAATTGAATTAATTAGCCAAACACAAACGACATGTTTCTCACTAAAAATACTTTTTTAAAAAGCACTTTAAAAAAAATATTTTTTAAAATAAGCTTATTTTATAAGTTTGGCCAAACAAACTATTATTCTTTGGAATTTAACAAAAATAGAGAAAGTTAAAAAAGAAAAAGAAAAAGAGAGAGGTTAAATAGTACTCGATTCTTTTAAATTTAAAATTTAGTTGACCGACTTTCATAAATATATAAAAACCAAAAACATGGCTCCGATCCCATATTCATGGCGTTCTCAACGGTCACATGCCACGACTCGGTACCAACTCGTCCAAAATGACTGAGTCACAATCACCGAGTCACTCCCCTTCTCCTGAAGAACCAACACAAAACCAAAACACACCATTTCACGTTCCAGTAGAGATAATCAGTGACGAAGAAATGGCGCTAATCGAAGCTGCCTTCGCCGCTACGCGGGCTCTGGTGTCGTCTCCACCACGCGCTTCTTCATCGGCTCATTTCCGTGAAAACGTCAGGTCCATTAAATCTATTACTCTGTTATCGAACCGGAGTATTTCGAGTTGTTCGCGGAGTGATCCGTTAATGATCGATGTAGAAGATTCTGGAAGGTTAACAAGTAGCCAGAAGAGGAATAGAGTTGTTGATTCGTTGTTGCATCGGTTTCGGAGGAAGAGAGGCTTGTCTGTTACTGATATTACTGCCACAGTATGAATTTTTATTTGATTTTTTAATACAATTTGGTTTACTTTTGTTACAATTAGATGTTGAAGTTTGAAAAAGCTGTAGTGTTGCTAATGTTTCCTCATCCATTGCTAAGTGGAAAATGGAATTCAGAATTTCAGCCTGTTTTGTTGCTTTGTACATAATGGTGTTTATCATGATTAGTCGGTCTTACTAGATACCAAGTTTAAGAAAGTAATTTGGCTTTTACATTATAAGTGCATGATAGAAAAATATTAAAGTAATTTGAAAAGTTAATTTGGTAGAGATATTATCACATAAAATTTAAATTTTGAACAGTTTAATGAATTGATTTTTTCAAAGTTGTGACTGTTATATAGAAATGAAATTGTGTGAAACATCTTTGGCCGTCCCAAAAGGGTAAGATAAGTTGTGACACGAAGAGTGTTCTTTTAATCAGTTTGCTTTAGTTGTGCTACAATTGGACGGCTTTGATGTTGTAGTTTGACAAAAGCTGTGGTCTTGCTGATGTTTCATTATTTGAGTGCTAAGTAGAATTGTAATTTGGAATTTTAGCTAATTTGTTGCTTTGACCATGAGTACATGAAGGCTTATTGTTATATTTTTTCTTTTGACTTCTATATTTTATTAGCAGGGTGGATAATAAAATTAAAGTAATACTATTTCAAAAGTTAGTTTGCTATAAGAAAATATCACACCAAATTTTCTAACTTGAATTGTTCAATGAATTTGAATTATTGAAGCTGTGAAAGTTTTATCGAAATCAAATGGTGTCAAAAATTTTGTGACGCCCTAGAGTAAAAGGAGTGTCAGATAAGGTGGGGTATAGGGAGTATTATCTTTTGATCTTTCATTTTGGGTTCTTTTCTTGTGATCTTTGGGTAGATAAATATAGGTTGGACATGTTATTTGAATTGTTCCGCAGACAGACTTGAGTATTGAGATGGGACCAGGGTGAAGTGAGATTACTCATCTGTTTTTTTTAAAGTTCTAGGATGTAGTATGATGTTCAGTGAAAAGATCTATGTCATTTGTGAATCGCTTGGATTTTACATGAGATTGCAAGAGGTTTGAATCTAGGTCAGGCTTATGGTTTACATCATTTATAGCTGGTTCATTTGCACATATATTGCATCGACACAATGCTTTTTCGTGGTAACCGTTCCGGAATATGTTGGAATCCATTGACCATATGGTTCTGGATTTTAATATTCTTCCACTAATAGGAAGGACAGCTAGGCCATTCGTCTCAAATTCAATTTTTCTTTGTGTTCAGTAACAATTTTGATTTTGTTGTTCTTTTGGTCTCAAGAAGCAGATTAGTGCTAACCAATACGAGTTGCAGGACTTCCTAGAAAACAACGGTTCACGCCTTGTATGGATGAAACTTGTATTACTAATTTCTTTTCCTTTGGTTTCTCATGCTGTCATTGTGGATCGGTCTGGTAGTGGTAGGTAAGATATGTTACTAGGATAGAACCGCTCAATAATTTTATCTACTGTGGCGTTTATGATTTGAGAAATTTGGCTAGTGTAAAAACAAGTACTTGTTTTAGCCTTTCTGGTGTGAACGTTCTTTTGAGTATATTCTCTTGTTCTGCATTGGCTTTGTTATATACTTAAAAGTCATTGTGCAATGTGCAGGCAGATAGTTTTAATCCCTAAAACATGAAGTGTACTGATTACTAGTCCTCATTATCACAAGTTTGCCTTCAGGAATGGTGTGAAAAAAAGATGGAGTATTCTCTTCTCTGTGGCAAGCCCGAAAAGACCAAAGCTATGAAAGCTGGTAGCATTCGCCATGAAGCACTAGAAGAGGAGGTATTCCCTATCTATGTTTGAGTGATTAAGGAAGAAGTACTTTGATATGACAGATATTTTATATTATCCTGTATGTCAGTTTGCTGAGAGGACATTAAAGAGATAATATCAAGAGTTGTGCAAATACGAACGTATTTATCAGTGCTTACCATTTTCGTTTTTAAAGTGATTCTTTAGTATATTCTTGTGTTTTACTTTTACTTGTTGCTCATTCTTATTACCATGATTTTGATTGTATGCAGGTGATCAAAAAGGTAAAAGTTCATGTTACATCAGCTGAAGATGTATGGGCATTGAAGTTCTTGAATTTCATAGTTGGCGCAAACCAACTATTATTTGATGGATTAACACGTGAATTGCCTTTGTAAGTCTCTTTTTAATCTTTTGTTTGATATTCCTATAAGTATGTCTACTTGACAATGTTCCACATCAAGAATTTATTTTAAACTACTGATCTTATTTATTTGTGTGTATCTATAAGCACTTTAAAAAGAAAAGGCAGGTGTATATATTTAAGTGTCATATACAAACTTTGTGATCCACTAATGAAAAAGGCCTTGACCCTTTAACACATCTGTAACATTTCATCAACTTAAACTTTTTACCTACCAACTAGATCAGTTTGGCGTTATTGCAGACCTAAAATAAACAGATAAATAAGTCTCATGAGAGGTGATCACACAATTTAATATTATATCATAGTATGCAATGGTCTATTTGCAAGACTAACTGCTACCCATTTTCAAGAAGAATATTCACGTGCTTGACCCAAGAAAAGAGTCAAGCAGGCCCTGCAACACAACTTATTATAAAAAAAAATTTAAAAAAATAAATGTGTCCCCTTTTTAATAGTTTAAGCTTTTAGATCAAACAGTTACACAATATAACAGATGTAATCGGGTTGATAGAAAGACTGCTTCAACATTATGCAGATAAAATTGCTGAACTCATCTTGAACTGCATGGTTTAGATTAGGGACCCACACACCGTGGATTTCATTATTTATTTTCTCTTTAGACTGTAGACCTGGGAAAACAGAGAGTATCAATATATGTTTCACTGGCTATTTACATTTCCATTTATTCTTGTCCAGTTGTTTTCCTGTAAAGCACATACGAAACTATATAAGTTAATGCCCATATGAAGTATCTGTCTTTGTCCCTACACGCCGACACCTGTTGACACCATGACCATATAGGTGCATGTCCTTGCATGCAGTTGTGCATGTACGCAATTCCTTGATGTCCATCCAAAGTCACTTGTGACTGAATGCATATTCTCACACTAATTCACCTCAAACTTTATCTTTGCACATGACATATAGTAATTTCCTCTTTAACAAGTTCAGTAATTCCTGCATAGTAGGAAAGAAAATTATGAAATATCCTTGACTATTTTCATCCTTAAGAGCTGCTGGGCTAATTCATTTGGTTCATCAGAGTAGGTTTTGCTGAAGGTGTTTGGATGGTGGGAGTTATTGATGAGATACGAATGCCGAAAGGACAAAGTGATACATACCCAATGTTAGTCGACACAAAAACACGAGTAAGAGCTAGCCTTCCTGGTGAACCGCAACGGAGGAATGGAAGGTATAGCGTTGCACTTAAGGTTGAAAGCTGTCTGATGAGAAGGAGATATGCAACAGAATGAAGTTTTTTTATTATTGAAATGTGCTTACAGGTACAAAATCTAATGAACTTGGTGATCCCTTTTTTGGCAGGCTTCAATTAATGTGCTACAAGCATCTGTGGGACAGCTTAGTGGCTGATGAATTCCCCTCCAGACAGTTTTTTGATTTCTTCTCTCTGAATCCGTATCAGATTTTATCCGCTGAAATCAGAGAGAATACTGCTAAATGTGGATTCCCTACAGAGGTATTACCCAAAGACGCTAACTTTTTCAGGATAAAAGTTTATAGTTTCTTATTGTTATGAAAAAGAACAGGAGAAATGGGTACATAATTTGATGTTGTAGGATCTTGAGCCAAGTACCTGAATAAGTCTTCTCATGCCCGTAGAAGATCATGTGCAGGAAGCAGACAACTTTTTTGGTGTCTAGGCCAACTCTTAACAATCACTTTGAAGGCCCTAAACTTGAGTTCTCTTAAAATTTTACTTTGCCATTTCTCAAAATTTTCCCTTTCTGAGAAGCCTCTTCTCCATCCATCTTCGTAGTCTGATCAAGACTAGAAATGGACCTCAATGAGTTCTAGAACCGTGATGATTAATTATACCTGGATAAAAAAATGACAACTTTACTTCGAGGGAAAAGGACTAAAAGATGTGGTTCAGCAGGTTGTATGTCTTTTACATTGCATCCCAATGGGTGCCTAGTTTACTTTAAAAAAAGTGTAGCCAGCTTAGTTTTCCTGCTATGGAAATCTTACTGATGTTTTAGCCTTTGGAAATATTTTGTTGATAGCTTGTTTTTTTTCATCTTACTCTTTGGTGTCAATGCAGACTCTCACTGATATGTTGAGGTACCTTCGCAATACTTGGAGCATGCTTCCACCAGCACATGAGCAACTACTGTTGAGGTGAATTGAAATTTCATATAGTATGCTAATGTTTCACAATTTTCAGATGATAGAAATAGAGATTTTTCAAGCATCACTGTGTTTTTGGATCAACTTTATGAAAATGAACGCATATGCTGCATTCTGGTGTTTCCAACTTTTTCTACCATTTATATCCGTGTTGATGTTGCTTTTATTTCTGTTATTGACTTCTTTCTGTGTTTCTCTCGTTTGGCTAGTGAGATGTCTGAAGTTGACCTTCAGAATCATTACCTAAAAACTCCAAATTAGAAAGAGTTTCGTCATCTTTTTAGTTGCTTTCTATGTTCTTTTGTTAGAAACATGAAGTATGAACTGACTTTTTTTATGGAGGAGATATCAAGGTTGGACTCTCTTGAAGAAGTGATCTCAGAGTTGATTATTTGATGGCTCTCTAATTTCTTTATCTCTGGAGATTATCCTCGTGTTTCCATGCTTTCACCCAGTTCTCTATATTTTCAATTTATACATTTTTCCTGATATTTTTAGTTTCATTAATCACATTTGTATAATTAGACAGTTTCATTAGTCAGATTCAATATCCAAACCAAACAGGCTCAAGAAAGTTCATTTGGTGAAGCTTCATCTCAGCATTAGAAGAGACCCTTATATATATACGTATATATATATATATTAGAAACTATATTATGGATTCTTTCTCTGCAGGTATGAATTACAAGAAGATCAATCATTGCTTGGTGAAGATCAGTTTGAGTATGATCTTAACTGGGTAAAGGGTCAAATAAAGTCTTCTTTAGAGGTTTGGCGAGGAGAAAGAGAAGCCAGTTACACCCCTGAAGAGGAGCGCTGGAAATGCAGATCTTGCAAGTTTGCTTCTGAATGTCCAGCCAGCAATTCTGGCTCCCAAGTAGAAAGGACACTGAATGCTAATTGCTAAGTTCGGCAAGATCAGTTTCCAACTAGATCCTTAATAAATTGAGAATACGTTCCGCACACAAATTTTACACTATCAGATTGAGTTGACCGATAACATGTGACTCCCATATCAAGCCGGATAAGGTAACTTAGAGAATATTACTATACTGTAACTAGTTAAATTGCATTGATAGTGTAAAAATTCTTTACACTATCGGTTAAACTCTAAACAAATTTGGGTACACAATTGTGTTCAAAGAAGCTAGCAGTTTTTATACTCCTAGCTGTAGGTAGATGCTGAATCTGAAAATTCATTGCTGGACCAATTCTTGTTTTTTGCATTGTAAGTTTATTCATTTTTCTTGTAATTATTATTGAGCCTGAACTTGTCCCTTCAGGGACATCCGATAAAATTGTTGAGCCTGAACTCGGTGTTGTTTTGTAATGTCAAAGGTATTGAGATGACAACTGTGTTTGATATACGCAGGACTGTTGATGAAGCAGCCAATTCTTAATTTAATGTATTAGTCATTTGGTTTACTATCTAGTTGTGCGCAGATGTATAATGTAGTGATTGTTTATGTAGTGAATATTAATACAAAAATTATTTACAGTGAATTATAAGAGAGATTGTTAGGGCGGTGAATAATAATACATGGATTGTTGTATAGGGATTGACTAATTTATTATGCATGAATTATAATACAAGAATTGTTATGTTGTAATAACAATTAATTTATTGCCATACAAGACACATTATCCATAAATCATCTCAGGTATTAATATATACTATAAGCTATATATACATCTTATATACTATATATAAGATGTATATATTATATAGTATATATATTAAATGTATATATAATATATATATATATATATATATATATATATATNATATAAGATGTATATATAGTATAGTATATATATATTAAATGTATATATATTCGATAAGCTATATATACATCTTATATACTATATATAAGATGTATATATAGTATATCGATATAAGATGTATATATAAAAAGTTTGGGATTAAAACAAAGTTGGGGGAGGGGGGTTAAATGACTATTTTATAAATAGACAACGGCTATTTTTGACAGCCCAACGACTATATTTTTTTTAAAAAATAAATAAAATAATATATATTTTTTAAAAAATAGCCGTGGGGACCGTTTGACCCGCTAAGGGACCGGGCCGGTCCCGGGCCCTGACGGGCTAACGGTCCCAGGGCCGACGGGTCCAAATCATAAGACCGGCTCAGGCTCGCTAAAACCGGGCCAAACGGTCCTGACCCGTTTGGCCCACAGTTCGGGCCGGTCCTGGCCTGGACCGGCCCACTTGCCACCCTTAATATATACTATGTGTTTATTCCCTATAATTTTCTGATATGTTTACTTTTATATATTTTGATACTCTTTAATAAAAAAATTTGGTGTGCCACTGCTTCTCGGTACTGATTCGTATGGAATTAGCATGACTGGGCGATCAAATTCTTAGTGGGAATCATCAACTTTATAATGTTATAATCCATTAAATAATCTCACCTATAATTGGGACGGAAGAAGTACTAATTATACAAGATATTCTAATAACATAATTTTACAAGGAGATTAAATTTTCTTATACTTCAAACCAAACAACTCTTTACAAAGTTTACATTAAATATGAGCAGCAAATAAGTATATTCTGCCTGTATACTAGATACCCTCACACTATAATTGGGTTACTGACCAAAAAGTGTTTCGCTACTTTCAGTAGCCGCAGTAATCACCATGGCGCAAAATAGCAGCGGCAGAAGAATACCTAACATAATGATTACCGGAACGCCGGGCACCGGAAAAACGACGACGTCATCTGCGCTGGCGGAGGCGACGCAGCTCCGGCACATCAACGTCGGCGACCTGGTTAAAGAGAAGAAGTTGCACGACGGATGGGACGACACTCTCGACTGTTATGTCATCAACGAAGACCTCGTAAGTTTAAACATTGAAAATACAAAACCCTAGCTCTTAATCATGGAATAAAAAAATACGTATTTTATGTTTGACTTTGATTTCAGTTCAATAGGAGAATAAAAATGTAAAAGAATTAGCTTTTTCCTATTTTGTCTCTTCAATTTCTATTTCGTGTTTCATTTTTTTGACAATTGAGAGAATTGTTGCTGTTAATGTTTATTTAGTTAGTATTTTTTTTTGAACTGTATTAGTAGCAGAGATAAAAGTTAAAATGAGAAACATAGGCCTCTAAATGTAGCGGATTGAAGGTGTTAAGAGGGAACGAGGTATACTTAAAGTCACATTGAGGGAGTTGTCTCAAAAGGCTATAAGTTCTTTATGTTTTTTTGAAGAATTAGTGATAGTACATAACACAATGGAATAAAAGATCTATAGCAGCGAGTTGTGATTAAGGCATGATATGTTGATTCATTTACTTTAGGTCCAACGTTAAGGGGTTTCTTAGTTTGTTTAGAGATTTATTTAAGTAGAAAATATAGAGGTAGTCATCATTGTTGTCAAGTTTTGAGCTGCTTTTAGTTTGTTCCAAACTGTATAGATGCTCTTGTAAATGAGCTCAAAAAATAATCATGATACATGTTTGTTCTGGTGAATAGAATTGAATGTTGAAAATGACTAAGAGTGTCTTGGAACCTTAATGAAAAAGTTCTTAAACTACCCATGGTTATTACGTCCAATTGGTTGTAGGAAATGAGCCGGTGGTGTTAACTTGACATTTATTTAAGCTATAACTGGTTTCAAAGTAGAAAAAATTCATCAATTGGAGCACATGGTTCAAAAGGTATAATGATATGTACTCCTTTTTTTCCCTTCTCAAAAGAAGTGGAGTATATAGCATTATCCCTTTGGACCAGGTGCTCCAATTTAAGTTATGGTGGCTGTTTCTTCTTCATTGCCTCCCTTTTGGTGCTTTGATGCTGTAAAGGTATTTGGGGTAGTGCCCCGAAACATCATTAAAGATTAACTGGTCGGAGGTAAATGACAGAGAAAAAGGGAAGTGCAGAAACCCTCTTACAAAATAAGGACATGAGATCTGAATGTGGGATGAACTATGATAATTGAAGTTGAGCAGTAGAGAATGCGGATCTCACGTAATAGGATTAACAAATGTAGGGGCTTTCTGTTGGGACTGTAGTGCATTGGAATAAAGTTTCGTCTTCTTAAGACATCCGTTTTTGCATTTGACTTTCGTATATGGGTTGCATCCCAAATGCTGCCTTCTATGTTTAACATGTTCAATTATTAAAACAAAATAAAGAAGAATGGATAAGGTATGTAAGAGTTTCTTTGTGAAGGAAAAAGAAGAGAATTTTTCTGTTGTTACTAATGTAGTTTGAGCTTTTGCATGCAACATTGAAGCTACTTTGTGGATGTCTTTTCCTATCTGCATCACACTCATCCACACTTGCAAAATATGGCTTAGCAATTAATCAAACTCTGGTCTCACGGTCCTAAGCAAACCACCATTTCCTATTCAACTGATAGGAAATGAAAGGAACACTCTTTGCTGATAGCGAATTAGCTGGTTGATGGATTTATTTTCAAAAGATCGGCTAGTGAAATTTCTACATTACTTGTTATGCAAATAATTTAAGTTCATATTCTTCCAATTTGGTTAACTGGTATTGTCACTGTTGAAGAGACTTAAAATTGCACTTCTCATCAGTGCTTTGATTGCTTTGAGTTCTTAACTGATTGTGTAAGTTAATGAACAAAAATCCACTTGCCAGCTCTGAAAAGGGTGAAGTCAAATTTCCTACAATTGACGATGAAGAAATTTGTGCTATTATAAGCTTCATGGCATCGCTGCTGCAGGTGTGTGATGAGCTTGAGGACATGATGGAACAAGGTGGAAACATTGTTGATCATCATGGCTGTGACTTCTTTCCTGAACGTTGGTTCGATAAAGTGGTGGTGCTTCAAACCGACAATACTGTCTTGTATGATAGGTTGAGTAGGAGGTAATCTATCAATTGACTTCCTTTGTCTTTTCTCATCCATGCCTCTGTAATGTTGCTCACTCAGATCTGTTCTTGACTTGCTTGATTGTACCAGGGGTTACACAGGTCAAAAGCTCTCCAATAACATCGAATGCGAAATATTCCAAATTTTGCTGGAGGAGGCAAAAGAGAGTTATCCAGAGGATATTGTGGTGGCACTAAGAAGTGATTCTGTTGAGGATATTAGCAAAAATGTGGAGACACTGTCCAATTGGATTAGTAGTTGGAGCCCTGTCTCATGATTAAGATATCACAAGTGTATCTTCTATTGCATGTTTGATTTTTGTATTCAAATGATATTCTATAGTGGTTTTGGCTGTTTGGGGAGGTACACCCTTCTTTCATATAAACAGAAATTCTGTAGAAATGCACCAATGTGCTCTCCATTAATCGTCGCGGAACAAAGCTTTTCGAGAAGGTTTATTTGTGCAATGATTGTTATACTAGAGGACCTTCGCGGTTGATTTTAAGAGTAACTGGGAGAAGTTGATCTTAAAACTACTGGGAACTCTGGTACTTGTCCTACCGCAGCACAATAACAAATAAATTTAGAAATACAATTTCAAACCATCACAATATTTTTAAAGAGAAACAACCACCACATGCATATTTTTACAATATATCCAACTGGAAAATGCGCGACTGATAACTTCTTGTATAGCTATAACACAAACAATCGCATTTGTCGTTAATAACAATTATAATTGGAGACGAACTTAAATAGAATAACATGAACAATAATGATTCATATAGCCTACAACAACAAATTTTAGATTGTGGCAAAGTAGTTTTAGGAACAATGCAAACATAGCAGGAATGAAAACTAATATATGGTAGTACCCGGTAGAAAATTGTTCCTTTTATTCAAGTACTGCTAGTTGCGGTTTCAAAAATACTGCGACTCTAGACCTACTTCATTTTCTAAACACTTTACATTTTCTCTACATCTAATTCTATCCTGCAAAACCTTTTCCAGCCAAAAAAGCACACAACCCTACAAAATTGTTCCTACAACTTGGATAATTCATTAAACGATATGCACTCAGAACACGTTTAAGGTTCAAGCAATGTAGATCGACTCAAGACAAGGTACGAGTAGAGCTCAAAAGAATTCGAGAGTGCCAGTTATAGTGATTGGTGGGTTTATATCAATGCGCGTAGCCTTCCCTTGTGAAAGTAACTGCGGTAGTGTATTGGCATCTTTGGCTACAACTCCTTCCCCTGTCCATAATGTGACATGTGGCCATTGGTTTTTAGAATCGACCTTCTCACCTTCAACAGAGCCAGGCTTTGCTTCTAGTGCAGCCAATTTTTCAGAGAACAATAAAGCAGCCACCTCTACTGGCACCTTTTGGTGAAGAAAGCAACCATAATTGGCAACTGCAGTGACACCGTGACTTCTCTTATGAGCCAGGGTCAAATGGGCCTTTGTAATGCAGCTCTCTGTGCTTTTATCCTTCAAGAAAGCGCCAACCTTCGGATCTTTCTGGGCTAGCTGTCCACAAAATAATGAAAAGCATGAGATAATATAGTTAAGTTCCTTTATGCAAAACTAAAGTGCCTCTCCTCAGTCCCCTTACTCACCGTTCACCCAAAGGACTTTTAAACGAATATTCGGATGAGATAGGAAATCAATAAGATTGAAAGGAAAGATAAACAAGAGATACTGTGTGTTTCGTGATCAAATATTTGCTTTTCTCGGATAAAGATATTATTTAATTGAAAGAAAAAGAAGTCAGCAAACAGATAAGCAAGAAAGACTATCATTCTCTTCAACCTGCCAAGAAAACAATCCAGCCACAAGGAATAATATGTTTCTGCATAGACCACTCACTACAACTATCAAGAAATAAATTTCCAGCCGTCAAGACTCCATAAGTGCAATTCATAAATTTGCAAATTCACTCACATCATTCAGAAGACCAAGAATTTCTGGAACTGGCAGGCTGACAGCAGCAAACACAATAGATCCTAGCTTCCTCTTCTCAGAAGTAGGCGCTGCATACTCGCCCCTCGCAATAGCTCCCAGTTGTTTCAAGACTTCTTTAACAGCAAATTCAAATGGAACCTGAAACAGAAGTTTGCAGAATCATTAGCCAAAATCTCTCTTACCACAACGTGAAAAAATTTATTGTGAGCTTTCCTACTCTTCTCCGTTCACACTGAGCCAGGGGGTTCTTTGCGAGGGGTGTGTGTGTGGTGTGGTGTGGTGTTGCTGATCATGAAATATAGAACCATCCAACAAACTCCTCCAACTACAAAGGTATTCCTCATGTAGCACTTCTGACCTTCTTTGGCGTACCAGCTCATTTTAAGGTAAGTAATTCATTTTTTTTAACAAACATGTCTTCCTACTTGAAGCCACTCTTTCCCCCCAAAATCTCTCTTACCACAACGTGAAAAAATTTATTGTGAGCTTTCCTACTCTTCTCCGTTCACACTGAGCCAGGGGGTTCTTTGCGTGGGGTGGGTGTGTGGTGTGGTGTTGCTGATCATGAAATATAGAACCATCCAACAAACTCCTCCAACTAGAAAGGTATTCCTCATGTAGCACTTCTGACCTTCTTTGGCACACCAGCTCATTTTAAGGTAAGTAATTCATTTTTTTTAACAAACATGTCTTCCTACTTGAAGTCACTCTTTCCCCCCATATCCCTGCACACTCCCCATGTCAAAGAAGAGTTACATAGAGAGAGAACTGTGCAAACAGCGCAGCTAAAGAAAATTCAGTTAGGTCATTGGCTATGTTACATGGACTCATATAGGGGTGTATGTGTGTGTGTATATCAAAATTTGTTGCTGATTTTTAGCGTATTTGAAGAAGCCGCATGATGTTCTCCAATCTTTTATCACACAATTCCTATACCGGTGCGACAACTCAAATAAAGTATGCATAAGTGCAGCTACGTGTCATGGGTCACATTTGAAGTAAAGGGCTTTAATAACGTTATAGCAATTACTTTTTTTTTTCAAGTGGAAGGTAAGATCAGAGATCAATTACATGCCTTCAGAGATCTAGAACAAACTTACCTGTATTGAATTGAGATAGTCAGCATTCCCAAGTAGAATATCCCTCAATTGCTTCTCCCATTTAACCCACTCTTTTGCATATATCCCTTTTATAGACTCCAATCTACAGGATTGAATGTACAAAATCACAAACAATGAGAAAAATTCATCAGTAACAATCAATCAATCGGAAACACGATTACCTAGAAAAAAGCTGGTCATAACATCTCTTCTTTTTTCTCCTCCCCACTTTCCTTGGTTGGTTTGTATTTTAGGATTTATTCTTTTATTTAATCCAACTCACTCTCACTTTTTTTTTTGGAGTNAAAAAGCATATAAATGGTCTGGAACCTACTGAAACATGCAGGTTCATATCTGTATTGCAATTAATTTAGTACATTATATATGTGTATACATGTGTGTGTATACATCCATATATGCGAATATAAAAAGTTATCATCAGGAAAAAACAATACAACAAAAGCAGAATCATATATTCAAGACTCAAGAGTAATAAGGAGTTTCATAGCTCCAGATCATGCTCAAAGATATTTTAGGAGTAGAGTCAAGAAACTGGAAATAATATATCAGATTTCCAGTAATGCATGCTTTGCCAGCCCAAAGAAAGAGGAAACTAAGGATGACAGACCAATATTTGGCGGGCTGAATCACTGTTTTAAGGTGTAATATTCTTCTAATCTTCTCAACCAACCAGAAGTATTAACATAATATATCGAGACCTCTATGCATCATAATACAATTCAATCATCACACAGTCATAAGAGTCGAAGCCTCCATATGAAGAAGTTGGATGAAAGCTTATCACACATAATAACCCTACTTTTACTAAAGCAATCTGGAGAAAGAAGTGGAAAACTCAAATTCAATTCATAATTACTTCAACATAAACTATTACTTTGAGAACAATTTTGTGAGCTGAGGATGTAATAGAGAGATAGCTCGGGGTCGCATAGCAAGGCATAATACTTTTCACCATGAACACTACAACTCAAGTGCAAAAAGGGGGATGGTGTGGAGGAACTCGTTAACTACACTTGCTGACAGTAGCTGAATGTAACACTGACCTTCCATGTTTGTTTGTGTGAAGCTTGTACAGATTGATTCCCTCCACAATAATAGACCTCACAGAATCTGGTAGCGGAGACCTTCATATGATCATAAACAATATCAACAGCAAGTAAAGCAAATGAACAAGGGAAGACCTACATGTCCTTGAATTGACAGTTCCAAACTATACAGGTCAAATACCAAATACCCATGGCAATGCCAACAGAGCACAGACTTCAACGACATCAAGGCAAAAAGTCATCTGACATGATAGTAGAATATTATCAGCTCCACTACTATCTGCAGCATTTTGTTGGTTGCATTGCTATGAATCAGTTATATCACTGAAACTTCTAGCTGTCTAATATCCTATAGAGTTGAACATATTGAACCACACAGCTTGCTGTAATTAGCATTTATTTAGACAGTTCGATTTATAGATAACACCCACTTTCTTCTTTTTCTTTTCCTTCTCTTTATTTTTGGTCGTGAAAAATTACGGTGACAAGTATTGGAGTTTGTGTTCAAAGTTGGCAATCTCCTTCAAAATTTTCGAACGCTGTTACGCGTTAGGATTTATGTTTAACTAAATTAGAGCTATATTCACTCTAGTTAACGAAAATTAGTGACTAGGTGAAAGCACGGACAACCAATCAGGCGTGTGTCAAACACCAAAATATGATGATACTATGCAGGACCTGTTGCATCATTCATGTCTTAGACAACAACAATGATTGTCCTTCTTTCCATCTGGCCAGGAAATAGAATTTTATAGAACAAATTTCATTTCTTCTAAATAAATGAGACTTATGATCGAACTCGCTTGCAAGCAAGCCAGTTACACCCCTGGAGATGAGCACTCAGAACTTTAGATACTTTAAAAATGTTGAACGACCTCAGTTTGTTGTTTGCTGAGAAATATGAGGAATTGACCTTTCAAGTTTTTTAAGTGATATGTTTCATAATACTAAGACAACTTATGGAGAAGTAAATTTAGAGCAAATTACAAGTAATTCCTCTCAAGTTAAGCAACATTACGTATACTTCCCCTAGCTTAAGAAATTACACCAACACCCTCTTTTTCTAAATTGCATTACAAATACCACACTAGCTTGCAAGCAAAAGGGAAAAAGGACCAACATGGATTATGAAGAGGATTCAACTATGATATCCAAACCCAATGTTTATAGCCTTAATCAATCATTTACACTTCCCTTTTCCCTCCAATTTTATCGTTGCCCACTTTTCTTCTTCCAAATTCTCATAAAATCTCTTATATACTTTTATTCATTGGGAAGCTAATAGTTCTTATTATCTTTCTCTCCCCTTACTATTTGTGCTTTTACAATGACCAATCAGCATGGGACACGATGATTGAAAGAGCTAAGAGGGGGCTAGTAAGATAGTGCATAGTGGAAGAGAAACTTGTATTAAGGGGAAGGAACATTAGTGAAAACTGAAAAGTACATTATTGAGCATGCCCACACAATTCATGTCGTTGCTTCATGCATATAGCACTGTCACAGGTAAATTGAGAAGCCTCCAATGGAATTTTAATTTCTTGAGATGAAGCAGTGAGGCTAGGAAGTTCGCTTTAATTAGCTAGGAGGACGTTGGAAAGGGGGGGTGGGGGGAGGAGGGAGGGTTCGTAGGTAAAGAACCTCCGAGTTTTCAACAAGGCCCTATTAACAAAATGATTATGAAGATTTACGAGTAAGTATGGACTTGTAAAAGCAGGATGGAGAACTAAACATATCATACTTCACTTGGGTACGGTCTTTAGAGGAATATATGGAAGGATCAGTAGATAATCAATAAATTTTAGTGGCAGTGGCAACATCATTCTCAGGGTAAGACATGGAAACAGAATCCACTTCTATTGATTATCTACTGATCCTTCCATATATTCCTCTACAGAATCCACTTCTATTTATCACAAGCTCTTGGTTACGGAGGAGTCATGTTTTTCCACGATTATCAATTTGAATTCCCAAGGCACCAAAAATGGTTCCTGACATTTGAGATTTTGAGGGGAAAAGAGAGAATTACATACTTTATCTTGTGCTTTATTTACAAACAAATGTTCGGGTAAAGATATTTACTACCTCCTGCTACATTGTTAGGTCACAACTCGCTTGTGGTGGAAGATTGTGCATTTCAGAGTAAAATGGGAGATGTCCGACATGGTAAAGGAGGCACTTTTCAATTGAGCCTTTAAAAGAAAAATAAAAAGCTGAAGAGCGTAGGATGTGACCTTATTAGCACTACGGGGTCCTGTGGAGAAAGAGAAAGAGTCTTTTTCATGACGGTGGTGTCCGGACCAGCTTGTGTGCACCTCGACTATTCCACTGGAAGAGAAAAAAGAGCTTTTGAAGAAATAAAGAATGACTAAGTACATTTGAGGAATAATCTGTCATTCCTAATTCTTTTGGTGTACCAATAGTGTTCTTGATATATAAAAGATCAGTTTTGGTTTGTAAGGAATCATTATTTTGTGGATTTACTTTATGGTACCAATAATGTACTTGTACTGCTTGTACATTATCAAAGAAAAATGCCACAAGGAGACACATGCTTTTATTATTACACGTTGTTGCTTTTCTTTCACCCTAAACCCTAAACACACTTCAGCTGATATGACTGCTGTGACTAACTGCAATCTAACATTTTCTTATAATCGAAAAATCCTCAAGGACCAACTGGCGCACAGTTCGAAACTCTATGGATAATGGGCTCGCCCCTTTGCCCTTCTCTACTTATATGTCAGGCTTTGTCTATGGCCGAGTTCGAACTACAATCTAACATAATGAACTAATCAAACAAGGAGGAAAGGAAAAAGCCACCTAAACACGTAGTTGAGCAATACAATCATTTCAAGCTGAAGAGGCCAACCATCATTAAGGGGGGGTCAGAAGAAAGAAATCTTACTAACCTTTCAGGTTTCAGTAGAGGCATTTTGACAAGTGAGCCAAAACGTTCAATAAGCTCACTCTCGAACTCCTGACGACTCTGAGTGGAAGTGTACCAAAAGAATCAGATACAAATGTCTCGTTTATTTATTTATTCTAATAACTAATGAAATACAGTTCATTTAAGAGAAAGATCTCACATAATCTTGTTAGCGCAATAAGATTTTGTACCTTTCCCTCATAAAGGTGATAAAACATTAGCAGCACATATCCAGCATTTGGAGATGACTTGTCAAGATTTCCCTTCAGGATCACAGCAGAAAAGAGAGGTCTAAGACATTGATATCCAAGTTGAATGGAGTAAATGGCTGAAGAGCAGTTTACAAGGACGGAGTAATGTGAAGAGTTAAGTACCGGATGATTAACTCGGTGAAGTACTCGGAATGTAAAAACCGCAAGTGCATCAACAGAGAATGGATTGATTTCAGTTCCTGCATGATTAACCAAGCAGTAACTAAGACCCACATGTACACACAGATGAGTATGACCCAAGATAAAACAAATGAACTTTCCAATAAACAATTCTCTTACTACCACTACCAATGTCACTGGCCGTAAAGCAAGGTAATGTAAATCATCATTTTGTAAGCACCATGAAGATTAGCCTATAATTGTTCTCGAAGAAACAAAAGGATATAACAAGATGATACAGAGCTTCACCAGTCTAATTAAAGATAACACAAATGCAAAGCCAGGAGTGTAGGCGGGAAGTATCTGTCTCATCTCAAGAAACAAAAGCATATAACAAGATGATAGGGAGTTCACCACTCTAAGTTTCAGATAAGACAACTGCAAAGTCAGAGGTATAGGTGGGAAGCATTTTCCATGCTTCCACCTGAATCGGATGTAATTTTTCACTCAGCAAGAAACAAGAATTGTCAATAACACAAATCTGAAACAACATAGCAAGAAATGCAAAAAAAAAGCCACTGGAGCACTGGGTGAATTACTAAATCAAGTGCCCCAGCATTTCATAAATTGAAGTAGACTTGCATGAGACTTGCATTAGGTAGGGGTAAGGACTAAGGTCTGCGTACAAACCAGTGTTATCAAAGGCGAAAAACGCAAAAAAGCTCTAAGGCCTGTTGGGGCTTTAAGCGCAAAGCGCAAATAAAGCGTGGGCTTTAATGAAAAAAGGCGCAACGGGAGAAAAAGTTAAAAAAATAAAAAAATANTTATCTGCGTCCAGGAGGTAGAAGATAAAGTGACAATAGTATCATATACAGCTTGATTCACACTAGATGGTAAAAGAATAAGATATTGCATCATAACCAGTGTTATCAAAGGCGAAAAGCGTAAAAAAGCTCTAAGGTTTGTTGGGGCTTTAAGTGCAAAGTGCAAATAAAGCGTGAGCTTTAATGAAAAAAGGCGCAATGGAAGAAAAAGTTAAAATATATATATGTAGTCCAAGACCAATAATTATAAGCATGAATAACACATATACAGACAAAAAATTGAAAAATAATTACGATAAAATGAAATATCAGTTGTTTAGTGTCGCCTTTTTAGGATTACACTCATCGGCAAGGAAAAGTATGCCTTAGAGCCTTGATGCGACACAGAAGCGCCCCCAAAGCGAGGCGAAGCGCTCAACATGTTTTGAGCCTCGCTTCAGGGCTTAAGCGCGCTTTAAGCGCGCCTTTGATAACACTGGTACAGACTACCCTCCCTAGACCCCACTTGTCGGGAATATACTGGGTTTGTTGTTGTTGTTGTTAAAGCAGACTTGCATGAGAGCAGCATAACAGGTTATCCAAAATGTATGCAACAGAAACTACAGAGGAACTTTCTAACAAGACCTTCTGAATCAGGTACAACTGGAATAGCAGATGCCTTGGTGCTTAGGCACATGTTCTCAATCTGCAACGATGAGAATAAAACCGCGTGAGGCAAATCTGGGTATCATGATTTGAAGCATTACCAATACATCTTATGCTATTTCCGAACTGAGAGAACCTTAAAAACTCAAGTTCTTTATATGAATTCCACAGCACTCTAAAACTAGAAGATGCATTCTGTGGCATTATAAAAGTTGTATGCGAGCTACAGAGAACAGATGCTACAACTAGATTTCATAATCTCGTATGGTATCATTATTTGTAGCACTACCACTACATCTTATGCTAATTTGAAAGTGAGAATAACAATAAAAAGTGCCTTTGGCATCAAATGATTTGTACTACTCAGGTAACAGTTTAGCAAATACAAAAACCTACCTGTCTCCATACTTCCTCATTTGGTGCATTCTTATCAGCAAGCATGATCGAGTAAGGTTTTCTTCGGCGTTCATCAGCAACTTTTTGCCAATATCTACCTATTAATATGATGGATATAAAGAGATCAAACTTTATTATCTGAGAAAAAGTTGAGTCCTCAAGCAAGAAAAAGGAGATTATTAGTGGAAGTTTCGGGAATCAGATGTTTGTGGCAAGAAAGAACAAGATCACAATGATTTAGTTCCAAGTTAAATTTTTTTCAATTGGTTTTAACCTGTATTCAAGAGCAAATGCTTGTCACAATAAAATAGATACTCCCTTTGTCCTAATTACACAAAACTCTTTCCATTGTGGGATGTCCCAAAATGTTTAACGCCCTTCTATTTCTATACAACTTTCACAACTTTTAAGAATCCAAATACATTAGACTATCAAAAAAAAAATTTAAAAAAATCATGACGTGTTTTTTTTCTATCAACTAATTTTCAACCATTAGTTTGAAGATATTCTTCCACTATTACTGCTTCAATATATAAGGAAAATTCACATCTTAGACCCTGTGCTTGTCAAATACTATTGTACAAAGATGAGACAGAGGGGATACACGATATCAACCTAATGGCACAAGACACATGGACATGCAAAATCAAATTCCTTTATAATTAAGGAGCATTCCAAAAGATGTTAAAAAGCACCTCATACCTTTGATAAGATCACCCATTAAACTATGAACTGGTCGATCATCTCCAAGCCCTCCTGGAGCATTCAGTATTTCCTTACAAAGTGCAGATTTAGCACAACCTGGTATTCCTGTAATTTAGCATAGCAAGTCAAAAAGAATGCATAATTAAAGGTGCAGGAGGTTCTAAAAACAAAAGAGGTACATTACATACAAAATACATAAAAGACTCCAGAGTTACATCATCCACTACATGCCAACTACTACTACAACAACAACAACATCCAGTATGATCCACATGATCCCACAACTGGGGTACAGGCCAACTACTAGAGAACAAGATAATACAAAACAACCATAACAGATTCAAATATTGTATACAATCTGGGAATTCAAAACCAGTTCAATATTACCTGGAAAGAAAACAATGAGACCTTCATTCTTCGCGACCATGTCTTTGCTGGGAATACTAGGGCTTGAAGGTGCAATATCTTTCTCCGGCTCGAGATCACCCTCTTCATCTTGTCCTTCAACAATGGCCATGAAATCTTCAACTTTGACTAAATTTCCAGCAGATCCTATCAAAGCCTGATTTTGTGGACTACGCTTTGCATATTGTTCAAGGAAGGGCTCAGCTTCACTTAGATATGTGGATGATGACAATGGTTTGTTTCCATATTTTCTGCGTATATATACTGCCCTGAAAGAAGTAGTCCCAGTAAGATGCTACAGTGGGAAAAGAAAAGTGACTAATCGTAGAAAATCATAAGTTCATTTAGTATTACCATTCATCAAGCATCTTGCTGAGTTCCCGTTGCTTGGCAGCTGAAGTATTCCAAATTTTCATTTGCCTGTATTGACCATATTGTTATAGAGATTGATATAATAATTTATCCTTGAGGATTGATAAGACAATACAGACATAAAAACAAAAGCTATGTAAAAATACAGACTGATGGTTCCAACACACGAAAAAATGGAAGAAACAGTAGAGACAGCCTTGAAAACTTGGGTAAAAATAAAAGCTATTTAAAAAAAAGAAGTCAAGATTCAAAGTAGTTACACTAGTCAGACTGGAAAAATAAGATCTGAAAACTAGAAGTTCGGCAATAATTTAATAGCCTAGTGGATTCAACAGAGATTTGGCTGTACAAAACCATAATGTGAAGGCTGATCATGACAAATCAATATGAGCATTTCAGATAACTTAGATAATTCATTAGAACTGTAGCACTTCATTATATGACGATAAACACCCCTTAAAAGACCAACTAAGATGTGGATAGAACAATTTATAATTATTGAATTATGTCGGCTACAATGTAGCAGCGGCTCTTTATTGAACAACGTGAAACACAGATACAATGCATATGAAGCCACCAAGGAGTTCAAACAAGAGGTTGACCATTGAAGAACAAAGACCAACAAAATAAACCTCACCTCAGGTAATAAGCCTTGTATGCAGAAGGATCTTCTTTGAAAAGAGTCGTCAAGCCATTACGGATCAAAAAAGTTCTCAACTGCACAGTAATGAAATAAAAACTAACATGAAATTGCTTTGCTCAACATGTGATAAATTTCAAAGCAACATAGCATGCTAACAAATTATGCTCCAAAATTTAGATCTTATTAAGTGGACGGATAACCGAGAACCATATTACTTTGAAAAACAAAACTGAGTCTCCTGATACTGTCACTTTCACTATTTTTTGAGAATGGTAACATTTGTATTAATAAAAAATGCACTAAGGCAGTGCATAACCATATGTGCATAACCATATGTACAGGGAATAGTAGATCAATCTTGGTCTACCTAATTACAAAAAGCCTAACATGTCTACCAGATATTCTGTATCCTCTACAAGACTTTCTTTACACCAAAAATGAAATAGAAGAATACGGTCCATCTTGACATCTTGAACGGATTTGTATCTGTCTTCAAAAACTCTTGAGTTTCTCTCCTTCCATATTGTCCATCATATGTATGCAGGTATCAGTCTCCACCATGTCTTTTGACTGACTGAGTCTCCAGTGTTGTTCCAAGATTTTAGTAACTCAACAGTAGTAACTGGCATAGACCATCTTAGCCCAACAATGTTAAGGAACAATTGGCACAGTTGACTTGTAATAGGGCAGTGAAGGAATAAATGGCTATTCGTTTCCAATTCCCTGCCGCATAAAAGACATCTAGAGCAAAGTTGGAATCCCCTCCTTTTCAGGTTCTCTTGAGTTAAGCATGCTTCTCTTGCTACCAGCCATGTGAAACAAATCACCTTATAAGGAGGTTTAACTTTCCAGATACTCTTCCATGGCCAACCATCTATGTGACGACTAGTGTTTGATAACAAAAGATAAGCTGCTTTGACAATATACATCCCATTCTTACCATTGTTCCAGATAAGAGAATCTTCATGTTCTTTAAGACCTTGGAAAGCTTCCAAAGTTGTAAAAAGCTCAGTAAATCACCCAAGCTCCCAATCATGCAGACCTCTTCTAAAATTGATGTTCCAACCATGTTGTCCCCAAGCTGCTTCCATTCTAAGATCTGTCACTATAGCAATGCAGTAAAATTCTGGGAATAGTTCTTTTAGCAGACCATGTCCTAGCCAACTATCACTCCAAAACAATGTCTTCCTTCCAATTCAAACTTTTATGCTAGTGTTGCACGACATAGAATTCCAGAGCTTCCTAATAGCTTTCCAAACTCCCACTCCATAAGGAGTATTAACAGGTCTTGTGCACCACTAATCCAACTAGCCATACTTCTCATATATGACCTTCCTCCATAGAGCATTAGTCTCTAGTTGATACCTCCACAACTACTTCATGAGCAGACTGATTGTGTGCATTTAAGTTCCTGATACCTAGACCCCCTTCTCTTATGCTGGTAATGAGTGAGTCCCAGTTAACTACGTGAATGACTCTCTTGTCTCTATTGCCCTGCCAGATAAAATTCCTCCTTGCTGCATCTATTCTTTTTCTCACCTTAACTGGAATAGGAAATAAGGACATGACATATGTTGGAAGTGCATCCAAAACAGAATTCACCAAAACCACTCTACCTCCTAGAGATAAATATTGGCTCTTCCAAGTTGCAAGTCTCTTTTCACATTTTTCTACCACAACATTCCATATTTCCTGGGATCTATTCTTAGAACCCAATGCCAAACCCAAGTAAGTGGTTGGCAGTGATCCCACCTGACAATCCAATATTGTAGCTAATACTTGAATGTTTTGGACTTCCTTGATCGGGAACAACATACTTTTCCTCCAGTTCACATGCAACCCTGAGACCACTTCAAAGACAACCAAAATGAGCCTTAGATGTCTTAGTTGCTCAACCTTAGCTTCACAAAACACCAGTGAATCGCCAGCATACAACAAATGTGTGATCTCCAAGCTACTATCCTCCCCGTGATCCACCCATTTCTTTTGGCGTTTTGCAGCATCTGACCCAGCCCTTCCATGGCTATTAGAAATAGAAAAGGTGACAATGGATCTCCTTGTCTAAGACCTCTCTCTGATGCAAAAAATCCTTCCGGGGAGCCATTGACAAGAATGGGAAATTTCACAGTTTTAATACAAAAAGAGATCCACTTAATCCATTTTGCACCAAAACCCATATCCTTTAGCATTTTTAGAAGAAAGATCCAATTAACATGATCATATGCCTTCTCAATATCTAGCTTGCACAGGATCCATGTATATTGCCCTTTCAATCTAGAGTCCACACACTCATTAGCTATCAATGCAGCGTCCATGATTTGTCTCCCTCTTATAAATGCCATTTGATGACCATCAACCAGCTTATTCACTACTCTCTTCAATCTTTCTGTCAGCAGCTTGGAGATGATCTTATACACACTTCCAATTAGGCTAATTAGTCTAAAATCTCGCAGCTCCTTTGCTCCATTCTTCTTAGGAATTAGTGCTATGTATGAGGCATTGAAACTTTTTTCGAAGTATTCATTATTATGAAAATTCTTAATGGTTTTCATGAGATCCTCCCTGACTATCTCCCAACACTTATGAAAAAACCCCCATAGTGTATCCATCAAGCCCTGGGGCCTTATCAGCTGCACATAGTTTAAGACTTTCCAATACCTCATGTTTGTCAAAATCCCTTTGCAGCCACTTCGTTTCTTCCTCTGAAATGCAAGGTCCATCCATTAAATTATAGTTTGGCCTCCATGTTTCTGTTTTAGCATATAGGTTCTGGTAAAAGTCTACTATCTCCTTTTTAATACCTTCTGGATCAGTAATAGCTTCTCCTTCAACCTCCAGATTATCTATGTAATCGAACCTTCTGCGAGAATTGGCCATTTTTTGGAAACATTGTGTTTTTATCTCCTTCGTTTAGCCAAAGTCTTCTAGATTTCTGTCTCCGTAAGATCTCTTCATATTTTGCTATCTCCTCAAACTCCATATGTAAGTTCTCCTTTTGAAGAAATTCATCTTCAGTAAGTGGTCTCCGCTCCTGTAAAATATCCATTGCTGAAATCTGATCAAGTATGCCAATTTTCTTTATCTTCAAGCTCCCATATTTATTAGCATTCCATTGTTTCAGCTTTGTCTTCAAACATTTAAGTTTGCAGGACAAAACATAGTCCGGTCTACCATGTATTTGAAAAGAATTTCACCAGCCTTCCCCCCTTTCTTTGAAGCCATCTACCTCCATCCACCAATTCGCAAATTTAAAGTAAGACTTCGAGAATTCCCAGTCCCCACATGTCAGTAAAATGGGACAATGGTCAGAGTTAATCCTCGGAAGTAAGGATTGCTTGATGTTACTAAACTCCTCATCCCATTCGACAGAGAATAAAAATCTATCAATTCTAGAAGAACAATCATGATTTTCCCCCTTTGTCCAAGTGTACATTCCCCCATTAGTGGAGGGTCAACAAGCTCCAGTTCCCCTATGATATCAGAAAAATCCCCCATAGCCTTAGTAGAAACTCCATTTATCCTTCTTTCATTTGCAAATCTAGTAGTATTGAAATCCCCACAAACCACCCAAGGCCCTTCACATACCCCTCTAGTAGGTGCAAGCTCCCACCACAACTCCTTTCTTTCTCTTCTACTATGTGGCCCATACACCTCTGCGAGAGCTCACTATGTAGGGAATTAAGTCTACAGAAAATACTATATAGACCAGTATTTACTAGTTCTCCCCTCCACGCTCTTCGATCCCACATAATTAATATTCCACCACTTCTCCCATTAGCTTCCAACCCCACATAATCCGTTCCTTCCAACTTAGTCTCTTGAAAGCAATAAATATCTGCTCTCCACTCTTCAATTAATGATTTAATTACCTTCTTCTTATCGATCCCATTCAAACCCCTCACATTCCAAGATATAATCTTGATATTCATGGATTCAGAATTGAAGTCTCTTGCCCCCTGTTCCTTGTCCCAATGCTTTTGAATTTCATGTCAATGATCAAGCCTTTTAGTTCGTTGCTGCCTTTTGGGAGTCTCCATGGTTTTGATTTCCGCTTCTTTTCTCTTAATTTGCCTGCTACTATCGATTTTTTTGAAGAGAGCCAGAGCCTCTCTTTCACATCCCTGAAAGTCAACTCCAAATTGCTTGCTAAGTTTCAACACATTCTTATAAACCCATAAGGATGCATCCATCTCCCCCTCTATCTCCTCTTCTTGAGCTTGTATTTTTAAAGGTTCAGCTTCCTCCACTGACCAGAGATCAGTCTCAGTGGTATCGAACATCTACATGTCACTTTTATCTTCCCCCGTCTCAAATTGATTACCCTCACCTTCAAAGTTGGTCATAGCATATACATAATCATCAGCTTCTTCTTCATGAATTATCATCTGATTTGTCGCTTGAAATGGGGAAAAAGTGATTCCTCTTTCTTTGTTAACAACTTCTGTAGAGCTTTGTAAATAGCTGCTAGGAACGCTGTTGTTTGCCTCAATTTCCACCAATAATGGGTCTAAATTGTGTGAGGAGGGTACAAAGTTTTGGACTGATGGAAGCATTTGGGCCTCGTTAAAAGAAACGAGCCCAAGAGATCTTCTTGCAATTTATCCGAGGATGGCAAATTATCTTGGACTGGTGTTGTCAATTGGGCCTCATTAAATAAAAACGAGCCCAATAAGTTCCCTTGCTCCTTGTCTCTTTTATTTTCTATGATATGTTGGGCCTGTGCAGAACCCAAACCTATCAGATCTGTGGCCCTATTATCATAACCACTTACTCCCTGACCTAGGTCACATTTGAAATTTGAAATGGGCACAGTATTTGATGTACCCACATGCCCATCCTTTCTTATATTATAGTTGTTGCTATTATCTTCAGTAAAGTAGGGTTTCATTGCCCGCTGGTTCAAAGCAAACCCCTTTTCTTCTTCTTTTCCGACTGCCACCCTCGTCGGTGATTCACACCAAATAGGAATGATAAACTCTAAGCCTTTATCTGCTATCGTAATCTCCTTCGGAACACTAACACCATCACCTTTGATTTTGATTCTCGCCCATTTGAGATGATTTTTTAAAGAAGTCTCTTCCTCTGTTTCCATCCAACCTCCACAGTGGTCTCCGATAGCTTTGAAGATTTTCTCTGACCAGAAATGCAATGGAAGACCCATGACTCTAATCCATGTACAACCTCTTTTTTGTATGGAAGAGCAGCAACCGGCAGTTGGTGCCTTTTGTAATGAGAGAGCAGCAATTCCACCTCCATTCCAGAGAGATTTTTGCCCGCTTCCACCTCCATTCCCTCCCCTTGAAGAATGTGTTCTGCCATGTGTTTGTTAGGAAACTGGAACAAAAACCTTGATCCCCCCATCTCGTATGCATCTACTCCAAAAGTATTTTTCCAGGAGCTCACTGACCACCTCCGAATATCAGAAAGAGTTGGTTTCTCTGTCAGGCCTTCTTCGAAGCTACCAACCACACATCTACCCAACAGACCCTCATCAACATTTGCAGCACCACCTGAGATCAATATTCTGTTGTTGGTACCTTTTGTAATGTGTGCTTCATTAGATTCCTTCGTCTACCATTTACTGGTTTTGACAGATTGTGTATATGAAATTTTGGGAACTATGTTCCTGGGACCACTCGTAATAAATGGTCCTCTGTCTGCATTGATGAATCTCCTGATCTTTAATGCAATATCATTCCATCCCGCATTAAATGTGCTTCAGGAATAATAGTTACCGATCTTTTGTCACCTTGGACTGATACAATGCTAATAAACCTTCCAAACTTGTTACTCCTCCTTGAACTGAACAAGATCGAGAACTGCTCCTTTAGTTTCCATTTCCTTACATATGTGCCAGCATCTCTTGAAGCCTCCTGAAGAACGAAGCAAAGCCACTCCATGATTTTCAAACTGAAGGTTGTTCTACGCATCGGATTATGGCTCCTTTCCACCCACTCGAACCATGTTTCTGCCCTTGACTTGAGTCGTGTGACATCATAAGATTTGGATCCTGCAGCAAAATAAATCCTATTTCCCCCATAATGAAACAAAATAAGTTTTTAGTGTCACTTTCACTATTTTAATGCACTTCACAGGCTCAACATGTAAACAACCTTAGAGCAAAAGGGTTAGGAAACTATGAATTCTGTATCTCACCCCTTCCTCGACTTTACATCGCTTCTTTGAAAAAGGGGTAATTTTCAAGGCAACTAGTGCATACCTCTACTAGTCCATTGGTACCAGCATTCTCCCACAAGTACAAATAAGCGGAACTCTACTCATAATTCATAAACACTTACACAAACGGAAATCACTTAAATTTTTTCTTTGCCTCCATTGCAATTGGAGCCTTGGTCTCTGGTAGTCCGTGTTCCAACTTCATCAACCACTGGGGTGCACTCACCTGAACTCCAGCGGTACTTTATGTCTGATGGTGTTACCTTCTTTGAGGTTTGAAACTCAACCGTACTTCACAGATCCATGTTTTAGGGACTCTGTCATTATTTCTCCTACATCTTATACAACAACTTCGGCTCCATTACCTACATCTCTGCCATTTATAGTTCCACCACCTACAACTCCAAATTCTATATCTCCGCCACTCTTGACTTATAATCTCCGTTAGCGTCCAGCATTAGGTCCAGATGATTCACGTCTTGCACCGGATCCTTCAATTACTATGGACTTGTCTCCTAGTCTTCCAATTGCATTTCGAAAAGGTACACGCTCCACTCATAATCCTAATCCTAATTATGACAGTGAGTTCCGATTATGGCCACCCCTTAGTGATCATGCAAGATATAGGTAGCAAGTTTAAGTTGAATTACGTCATAGTGACTCGACCTAAGATTATTGTTCCAGTCTCAATTCTCACAAGCTTATTGTTTAGGTTATAGTTGGCAATCAAGAAATAATGAAAACCTATTCCGTGCACTACTCTATTCTGCATGAGCCATGCATTAAGATATAACAAGTGAAGTAAATGATAACCACAGCTTGAAAGATTATGCCTCTAGTACAAGCAGAACGACCAGTTTCAACTCACAAACAGGCAAGAGTGACATCAACTCACTGTTAATGAAAGCTTATTTGAAAGCTGCATTACCTTGTACGTAAGAAATTTCAATTTAACCATCAGATTTGCATCTTCATCAGCTAAACTGTTGTCCTCTTCCTCATTTTTTACCATATGATTGCTACTTTGTACCATTTCAGCAGCTTTCTCCTCATTGGCCTTGAATAAATCCAGGTCAACGAAAAAGCCTGTGAACAACTACATCAGCAACTTACAGTGCAAAAGATGATGCTATGAGTAAGAGGGGACTCTCAATGACTGGAGACCACCCTACCCTTCTAGTGAAACATAAAAGAAAATACGAGATGAAGAACTGGAGTAAANACCTAGAAGAGATGAAAGGAATGAGAATTGGCAATTTAACCTTCCCTTTTCTCTCCACAGAAAATAATCATGAATTTACTGCCAACACATATTCAACTAATTGTTCATATATAACATGACCATGTAACTCTTTGTTCCCCTGGAGGAGAGTCTTAAAATTACCCTTGCGTCAAAAATTTATATGCCTTTTTTATACCATCACTCTGTCCTTAAATAGGACTAACAAAAGTTCACATCATCTCAAGCACCAGCAATGAAACCGCTCGTTTACTCCCAGAAGAGAAAAAAAGATCCTCTTAAATCTGTCGAGAATGAGTAGTTTCGGCCGTATCCATGGCAATTCCTCTTATAGTAAAATTACGACAGAAAACAGTGTCTCATTTCCATGTTAAAGACTTTACAGGATAGCAATGTTAAAAGGCTTTACAGGTTAGCACTTATAGCAGCTAGCAGATCAGTTCAGTTTTGGTTGGAAACAATAGATCAACAAATATTACCTCGATACAAAGGCCACAGTCCTGGTTTGTGCCTGACATGACAAGAATTTCTTTAATCAAGAACATCACGAGAGATATGCAGCAGAACCCAAAATGTAAAACATTATTTTGCCAGAACGATGAGAAAAAGAGGTATGGGGTGACAAATTTCTGTTGAAATAGTTCAAAATAGACCTCATCTCTTTCTGGTACCGGCGGAAGCCTGAATCACTATATACATGGATCACCATTTTGAAAGGCAGGTTGTCACTTGATAGATCATTAATTTTATGGAAGTTATAGTAACACTTGAAAGCAGCAGGAAAGCGCTTTTCCCTCATCAAACGAACCATTTCCTGGAGGAAGTGGATATATCCCAAATAATGGTTAACAAAGTTGATAGATAACTAAAATCTTATAACAATCAATCAGGTTTTTGGAATTAAAAAAAAGGATGACAACACAGTTAAGCTACAAACCAGGACCAATTCACATAGTTCCATGAGCTGAATCAAAATGTCAGTATTTTTTTTTCATCCAATAAGAGAAAAAGAACAGCCAGTGTATGTTAAATGAGAACATATTAAGTGATGACAAAGACGGGACCAAGTTAGCCAGAGAGAGGAAGAAACCAAAACGTCTAAGAGATGTATGAAATAAAAAATGCATAAAACTAGTGAACAGGAATATGACTGTCCTAGAAAACCATCTTCAACCTCAGGAAGGGACAAGAGGACGATGTGAAGAGGAAGATGGACTTATTGAGAAAGTGGAATATTACTTCCCCTCTTGTAACCACTTGTGTTCACCTCGACCAGGGAGGTATTTGTTCTTCCCTTCCTGTTGTTATGTGCAGCTAAAAGAAAGTGGAACATTACTTCCCCACTTGCAACCACTCGTGTTCACCTCGACTTAGTACGGTGTAAGATGAATCGGACATATTTATAGGTTCAAAAGTCACTTAAAATGGGGAGCAAAAGTAAAGCAAGTTTAAAACATCAACACCAAATGTACAACGTAATAGTACTCCTTTCTTGGTTAAATTGATTGCCGTGCTCTGAATTATAATCAAAGCTCACTTTCTCAATGGAAGACTGCACCAAAATACAATGAAACTGCCTAATCCACTTTCACACCTTCCCGACACTAGAAGCCTAACAACTCATCATCTCACTCTGAGAAACACCACCATACAATGGTTTGCAATTTAAAATTCATGTCAAACCAAACCATAGCATAATTAAAAAAGGAGAGAGCATAGAAGTAATGATACGAGAATGTGACAGCAAAACATGAAATATGCAGTGAAATATTTGAAATCCACAGTGTGTGCCAAAAATGCCAAGCCAGCTCAATATCCCAGTTACACAACTTTTTCTTTGAGAGAGCAGTTATTCTCACTTTCTGACGTCTCCAAGATAGTTGAATTGCAATGCTTTCCCATGTTCTCACTACTGTTTTTAAGCACCACAAAAGTGCCTAGGACCAAGCAAAAGTTGCAGTATGATTTTATCCTCTCAAACCGAAACAAAACGGCAAGGGTATTCTATGATTAATTAGATTCGGGTGTTTACATGTTAATCCAGAATACTGGAACCTCCTTAAACTTGATACTTCCACTATTATACCTTACCTTTGTGGTGTAGGAAAATGATCACCTTCATAAATAAACTTTGGTGAATGTTGTTGATATATATCTTCCCTTTTAGATAAATTATCTCCTATACTATGTTTTTGTCCTACATTACCTACTGTGTTTCTTGCAGGGACAGCACCAACCATGATTTATATTTCATACTGCGTCTGCTTAAGCGAAAAGATACACAATCGTCATGGTGAAAGCAATTATGCTAAAATGTGGTTTTGTTGAACATGCTATAAAAAGAAAGTGATCTGATACGCTGATTACTAGGGAAGAACTAACATATACGAATACTAGCTAGCTAGGTCTCGTTGTGAACACTGGTATTGCTATAATCTGATTGTGATAACATACGTGTGAGAAACTAATTTGGTTAGGTCAGTGATGACTATCATGATTTAAATAACCAACAATAAGATCAAGAGATAGATATTTAATTGGTTCTCTTCAGAGAAGTTTCCCAAACCTGCAATTTTCTGGTAGAAAAATCAGCAGGATGTGCTTGTAAGAACTTTGAGACAGCAGCTCGATCAGCATTTTTTGAATGTGAACCAAAATCTTCATCTCCAAACCAGTCCACATAATTCGGGCAGAAAGCTGTGCCAGCACTCTGAAGAAGTGCCTTTATTTGCTACATACGTAGAATAGACATAGAGTTAGGTACTATGGTTACAAGAAATTACTCTTAGCTGCTGAACTGGTACATTATGTGACCTCATAGAAGATTACCAATACCTGCTTTTCTGATCTATTTGCAGCACAAATTTCACGTAGTGTAGGTCCCAGGTCCAAGCCCTCTGGAAAAAAAGAAAAACATTTATGTGCATGCAACAGCTACGCCAAAGTCCCAGACAAGTTGGGGTCGTCTATATAAATCCCCAGTGACCATGTTCCTCATTTAAATTATTTATGTGCATAAATACAAAAATTAAAACCAAATATCTAGCACCAACAACTACTATGCTGCAAACCCAAGTAAGTTCGGGTCGGCTATTGAATGCACGTTGACTATGTCACTCCATTTAGGCTCCTCATAGACCAATATTATACAAAATAAAAAGAACTAGGAGTTCTCTATATTTTTTAAGAAGCACAGACAACCAAAAAGAATTGGAAGTGTAGACTTGTATGTAACTGCCTCACATCACATGAATTGTGTGAGAAAGCACGGGAGAAAATATATTATTGATATTGGATACTCAATATAATACAAGAGGTCCTATTTATATCTATAGTCTACAAAGTACATATTACTCCCATTCCAATGTGGGACTACGCATAACTAACAAATTGTTTGAGAGAGGACATTACTATTTGCTTAGTACGACTTCATTCTGTTTGGTTCATCTGATGGCTGAGTCCTACTTGAGCCACTTCAACATTGAATCTTCATATTTTTGTTTCTATGATTGATGAAATATATTCCAGATGTACTTGAATTTTTTTCACCTTTTTTATTTGATAAGTTCAAGGTGTACTTGAATTTTTAAAGAAGAAACAGTTCAAAGTTGTTTCTATTTTCTAAAATTCTTGCAATAAAAATACAATATTCAGTTTAAGAGTTCTATTCACATCCTTTATGGAGATAATACCTTGGAATACCCACAATTTCAGCTGTGAGAAAGCACGGGAGAAAATATGTTATTGATATTGGATAATGAATATAATACAAGAGATCCCTATTTATAGCTATACACTACAAGGAGATATTAGTGCTCTTCCAATGTGGGACAAGACTACACTATACATATTTGTAAACTAACACTCCCCCTCAAGCCGGTGCATACACATCATATGTACCGAGCTTGTTACACATGTAGCTAATACGAGAACCAGTAAGAGACTTAGTGAAAATATCTGTTAGTTGATCATTCGACTTTACAAACTTTGTAACAATATCTCCTGAAAATATTTTTTCTCTGACAAAGTGACAGTCGATCTCAATGTGTTTAGTCCTCTCATGGAACACCGGATTTGACGCAATATGAAGAGCAGCTTGGTTATCACACACTAGTTCCATCTTGCTGATTTCTCCGAACTTTAACTCCTTGAGCAACTGCTTGACCCAAACTAACTCACACGTCGCCATAGCCATGGCCCGATATTCGGCTTCGGCGCTAGATCGAGCAACTACATTCTGTTTCTTGCTCTTCCACGAGACCAAATTACCTCCTACTAGAACACAATATCCAGACGTAGAACGTCTATCAAAAGGTGATCCTGCCCAATCAGCATCTGTGTACCCAACAATCTGCTCGTGGCCTCGATCCTCGAATAGTAATCCTTTGCCTGGAGCTGACTTTATATACCGAAGAATGCGAACAACTGCATCCCAGTGACTATCACAGGGAGAATCCATAAACTGACTTACAACACTCACCGGAAAATAAATGTAAGGTCTAGTCACTGTGAGGTAATTCAATTTGCCAACCAACCTCCTATATCTCGTAGGGTCTCTAAGAGGCTCCCCCTGTCCAAACAGAAGCTTAGCATTCGGATCCATAGGAGAGTCAATAGGTCTACAATCCATCATTCAAGTCTCCTCAAGAATGTCTAAGGCATACTTCCGCTGTGAAATAACAATACCTGAGCTAGACTGAGCGACCTCAATACCTAGAAAACACTTCAATCTGCCTAGATCCTTAGTCCGGAAGTGCTGAAGAGATGTTTCAGATTAGTAATACCATCCTGATCATTGCCGGTAATAACAATATCATCAACATAAACCACTAGATAAATACACAGATTAGGAGCAGAATGCCGATAAAACACAGAGTGATCAGCCTCACTACGAGTCATGCCGAACTCCTGAATAATTGTGCTGAACTTACCAAACCAAACTCGAGGGGACTGATTCAAACCATATAGTGACTTGCGCAATCTGCACACACAACCATTAAACTCCCCCAAAACCAAGTGGTTGCGCCATATAAACTTCTTCCTCAAGATCACCGTGGAGAAAAGCATTCTTAATGTCTAACTGATAAAGAGGCCAATGACGTACAACAGCCATGGACAAAAAGAGACGAACATATGCTACTTTAGCCACGGGAGAGAAAGTATCACTATAATCAAGCCCAAAAATATGAGTATATCCTTTTGCAACAAGGTGAGCCTTAAGCCGATCAACCTGGCCATACGGGCCGACTTTGACTGCATAAACCCAATGACAACCAACAATAGACTTACCTACAGGATGAGGAACAAGCTCCCAAGTGCCACTCGCATGTAAAGCAAACATCTCGTCAATCATAGCATGTCGCCATCCTGGATGAGATAGTGCCTCACTTGTAGACTTAGGGATAGAAACAATGGACAAAGAAGATATAAAAGCATAATGAGGTGACGACAGACGATGATAACTTAAACCGACATAGTGGAGATTAGGATTAAGTATGGATCGTACACCTTTGCGGAGTGTAATTGGTTGACTAAGAGGAGACAAGTCCGCATTAGGTGCAGAATCTTATGCGGGGCGTGAATCACCTGGGCTTAATGCTGGATGTGGACGACAATGATAAGTCGAGAGTGGTGGAGTTGCAGAAGATTGAACTGGATTATGTGGAGGAACTGGAGCTATAGGTGGTGAAGCTACAACTGGAGCTGTATGTGGTGGAACTGGAGCTATAGGTGGTGGAGCTACAACTGGAGCTGTAGGTGGTGGAGCTGAAGTGACTGAATCTCCAAAAGATGAAACTGGTAGTACCTCAGAAATATCTACGTGATGACTGAAGTATGATTGGGTTTCAAAGAAGGTAACATCAGCGGACATAAGGTACCGCTGGAGGTCAGGAGAGTAGCATCGATACCCCTTTTGTGTTCTCGAGAAACCTAGAAATACGCACTTAAGAGCACAAGGCGCTAACTTATTTGTTCCTGGAGTAAGGTTATGGACAAAACAAGTGTTTCCAAAGATACGGGGTGGAAGAGAGAACAAAGGTAAGTGGGGAAACATGACAGAGAAT